AGGCGAGATACGGAGTACATACGGACTGAGCCGTACTTCTACGCGCTTATACACTCCCAATAGGTACAGGCAAGAATGTATCTGATATTGTTCGTCTTGTGATACCTGAGATATCTTGCTCTAGACGAAGAGAGAGAGCATCCCGAACCAAACAACAGCCCTCATATGATACCTGCAAAGCAGTACGTCTGGTAAATTCAGGTACAAGTATGGAGTAGCTAGGCGATAGATATACGTACCTACATTTCTTATCTCAGCCACAGTTCCCCTTTTGCATGTGATGGCTCCTCTGGATTGGACGAGGACAACACCCGTTAACGTCCTTTGTCTAGGATTTTTTGTATGACGATGTATTCCGAGGTAAACCTATACCGCAGACTGACTGCGAATGAAAATTCGGTGAATGATTTTGTGTTAGGGTTGAGGATCACTCTGCGTCGAGCTCTGGAAATCTCGACAGTGTATGTCAGTAGCTGGGTATTATACGACTCAGGACCTTTGCATGAGTAGGCATCACTTATCTAATCTATTTTTGTGGTCTGAGGATAGTCACTCGAGATCCAGCCCATTTCGAATTAATGCTTCTCAATCTAACATCTAATACTCCCCTCTTACACTGGGAGAATAAGGAAAACCGTTTCCTCAGAACATGGAAGTCCCTGGAACATGATTCGGTGCCCCCCTTTCTCAAAACGGAACCAGCCGCCTAGCCCTCTTTCATTTCGGACACGTGAAGATGATGATAGAGAAGAAGCAGTCAACAAGCAAACATGTGTGATGTGATGATATGTTACAGGGTATTATCAGCATATATACTAAAATTTCAGACCTCTCATGGGGAATGCATGCAGTAAATGGATACAATCATAACGCCTTTTTGAGTTCAATAGGGAAAGGGAAAGCGCATCTAGTCCACGCGCAGAATCAGGTCAGAGCCTCGCCGTGCCGGTGTCAGGTTGCGGCCCCAGGACACTGGTTTCCTCCGCGGCGTTGCAGGAGCCATATTCTCCACGAGAAAGTTAGGATCAGCCGGGAGTTTCTTGGACTTGTGGTCAGAGTACTGAGTTTGAGAATCGCGAGTCTCTAGCCAGCCGTCCTCGGGAAAATATGGGATTCTCACTCCCTGGGGTTGCGGCTTGCCCTTGCGAATCTGCACTCGTTTAATGTCATCGCCTCGTACAATCCGAGGTCGGGAGACAATCTCCTGCGCAAGCGGAGCTGTCCCAGAGAAGGGTATTCTGGGATTCGGCACAGTAGCACCGCTACCAAAGTAGCCGCCACCATCGTTCTTGCCAGCGTTACCTGACGGTGTGATCACCTCCCTTACAGGAGTGAGTGGCTTGAAGTCGCCAGAATGTCGAGACTTTCGACGGAGCTCCGAGCGTTCATTGAGGCTGATGGTCTCGAAGCCGTCTCTTGAGGTTTTTACGAGATCACCGTGCGTTCCTAGCTCGACTGACCGACGTGCAGCTCCACGAGTTGATTGCTTCCCATCACTCTGACCGTATCCAGCTCGTGGATTTAACCATTGACTGTCCATGTAATCCTGCTGATCCGGCATTTGGAACTCCGTATACCAGCGTGGATCCTTACAGATTTCTGCTTGTTGGTAGTGCGCAATCCTTTCCCCAGTATTGGCGAAGGCCGGCTTCGCTCCATACACAACGTTCTTCTTGGATAACGACGCGTTGCCCATTCCATATAGCATTGCGCGCGGGTTCGATGGTAAGCCCATTCCTGGCCTATGCTGCTTGCTGTGATTGTGTCCGTTTATTCCACCCATGGAACCCTTGTTTTGGCTCGAAGACCCAAGAAGACTTCTAGGTCTCACTGCATCCTCTTCGAACAATGTGTCACTGCTCATGTGTCTCGAGGACTTGTGGCTGCTCCATCTTAATGGCTTTGGATACAGGTTCATGTTTGGCTTATCCGGTAATAAATCGGAAACCGTGCGCTCTGAGGTCTGACTTGGGGAAGCGTCAAATTCGGAATTCGTTGACACCGCGAAACCGATTCTGTCTGGACTATCATATGGAAAATAATAATCACCAGGGCCTGTGACGATGACTGCTGGATTTCGGATCGCCGGCTTGAATGGCGACATTAACCTCGCAGTCTCGGAATTGGATTGCTGGCTTCCTGCACTAAAAGAAGGATTGGGTGGGCCTTGGATTGGACGTCGAGGAAGCGGTAAGCCAAAGTCTGGAGGTTCCGACATGACACCTCCAATCTCGAAGAAATCTCGATCTCTGATTTTCTGATGCTGACGCCGTACTCTCCTGCAGCAGAAGAATATGATAACCCCGAGAATGAAGAATCCAGCAACTCCAGACGTGACCGAAACACCAATTACTGCAGCGGCATTGAGGCCGCTGCTTGTAGCAGGAGAACTGGACAATGCTGGTTGAGCGCTAGTAGTGCTTGGGGACGTTTGTTCGCTGCGCGTTACTGTCAAAGGGTTTTCAAAGACGGCAAGTGTGGAAGATGTAGAACTCGATGTAGTAGCCTTGGGACTTGACGTATCTGTTGCGATCATTGTTATGGTCGCTGTCGTCAATAATGTTGATGGTGATGTTGTTGTGGTTGTCTCTGCTGTTGGGTGGATCGTGGACATGACTGTGGCTGTTATGGTAGCATGAGTCTTTGGAACCGCGCCAGCTACCGAGTCACAGATGTTATAGACATCGGAGCTCTCGGTCACATTCATGGGACAGAAGGACAGGTTGCAGCGCAAAGCTGCCTCCCCTAATGTATAACCACTCTTCGTATTCCTCCTGCACAGGCAGTCCAGGACTAGGCCGGCGCACGCATTCGTTGGGTAATCCGATTCTATGAAGAACTTGACGCAGCTCAAAGCACATTCTGGGATAGAGTCGAGCGGCGAGGATGCCACGGACGCCGTACGTCGAGATTGACGGGAGCAATGTGCCACACATGATGTTATGCACGAAATCGCTGCGACAAAGCTCCATCGAACTAAGGCGAGGAGCATGTTGTAGCATTCCTGAAATCTGGTCAGACCGCTTAGGCATCCTGACGAAACATTTTCGTCGAAGCATATGGGTTTGCAAGAGGGATCTGAAGAATGGGGGCGGCTGGACATATCCATTCTCACCTTGAAAGTCGCACTGCAAAGGAACTAACACTCCAGGAATCATGAGTAAAGATGTAGCTTCATGCTCGAATATCTCAGCACTCAAAAACACAGAAGAGCCTGGTGTTCATGAGCTTGATCGCTGAAGAATCGAAGTTAAGCAAACGGAACAAGAGAGAGAAGAAGGATTGAGGCCCGCATGGCGGGTAAAACGGATGCCATCATTACAGTCCACCTCGCTCCTCATCCTACTGACGCTGTTTCCGGCGTTAAATGGCAAAAGTCGCCTTCTTTCGCCATGGTGCTGACTGGCTACACATTGCAGAAGCCCAATATGTGAAACAAGACAGAGAGGCGGAGTGTCTGTAGGCGCTCTGATGAAAAGTGAAACACTGTTGACGCCATGTCTAATCTGTGAAGGATACGGCTGAGACAGACCGAGCAAAAGCTGGCGCTTCGACAGGAGTAGAGCTCAGGGACTTGGTGAATACGCGCCGTGTTGGCGCTGTAATGAAAAGCACCTCTGATTTTCCTCTTCGGGTTAGTTTTATCTCGTTATAGCTTGGCGCCCCGATATATTGTCCAGTAAGGATGTATTGATTCTTTGGTAACGTCTTTCTTCCATAGTCCAATGGCCCGTCGTTCACAAATGCTTCATATTATCACCGCTCAACAAGCCCTCCAACGCCCAAGGAATTAGAAACCCTTGACTATCGGAATTTTCGCCGAAATCGATCTTTTAGACGGTAAGATTGTCAGAAAGGTACCTCGCAGCAACGGTGAAGAAGATATGCAATCGAACCATCCGCGAATTGCTGAGCCAATGTCCACAGGCAGATCTGATTATGTTGAGCTCAAATACTAGCCACATAGCGACCTTGCAAGTTATTGCCAGAAAAATAGGATCACTCCTGAACTCCAATCACAGCGGTTATGGCCTCCGATTAAATGAACTAGTCATTTGAGGAAGGGCGCATAAGTATCGACGGAACTGTAGCCAAGTAGATAAGTTCGACAGCGAGGACACTGCAGCTATTGTTTAACGTGGTAAATGCTCGCATCTTGACTGGAAGAGCAACCAACTGCTCAAGGAGTCCTGGAATCAATGTAGATGGTTAAGTGGGCGTTGCCTGATTTCTAGTATGACTTTGGGAGATCTACGTAGGCAAGAATCAGTGGAAATTATGATCTTCTGACTGTATACTCCATAGTCAGTGACGCGCAAATCTATTGGCGATGCTAGGCCGCACCTTGACCTGACACTCGCTATCTTATGCTTCGTACCAGGAAGGCCAGAAATCTACTTTCTAATTATGTGAGACCAATTGCACATTTATAGTTGAAGTGGTTGCCATCTCCGCTATTTGTCCACGGAATGGGAGATAACACCTACAAAGTCTTTAAAGAAATTGGAGACAACTTGTGCGTTTAAACTCGTTATTGAACAAAAATTTGTAGGTTGATAAATTATGTCATTACCATGATCACGTGAAATCACTGATAACAAACAAAGAGCAGAAGCCCACTGGGAGAAATGAGACTGGTATCATCCGAGTTGAAGACAAGAAACATAGCGCAGAGCAGTAATGGACATAACGAGGATAGAGCAGAAGACATTGGGCCGTATTGCAATAATTAAGGTGGTATGGCACGATCAAGTCTCAGCATTTGAGCAGCAACTGCCAAGACTAGCGGGGCTAAGGCGGCTAATCTCGACCGGCGCTCCACGGAACCATGTTGACGACACCGCTCTTTAATCATCCGTAGTGTATCAGTGGAGATCGCATCTCTTTCGCGTCCATAATCATAACAGCTGACATGAAGAAGCGAGATGTATTTTTGTTTGCGATTTTCGGTAGATAGACTTAAGAGGGATGAATGTGATCGGCTAGTGATGGAGCGTGCGCTAATACTTGAATATGATGTAGCTGTGAACTCGGTTAGCTCTGAAGGCTAGGCCACCACAAAAAGAGGCGGGTACATACAAGGCGTGAATGATACCGGGAATCCAACCCAAGATGGTCAGACAGATGTTGATCAGAAGATCAGCACCACATCCTCGCTCAAGGAAAACACCCAGAGGAGGCAGGATGATCGCAAACAAGATCTTGCAAATGTCACTGTAAAGCGAAAGAATTATTAGTATGTTCTTCGCCCTCAGGGTATTCTTTGGTGCTGAAGTTCGCTCCTCATGAGCGAGTACCACCAATGGCCGTAGACAAGCCACAAGGGAACAAGGGGGGAAGCTTACGAAGCAGTGAAAGGCATCTCGATTTAGTGGTCTGTAGTGTGACAAAGGAAGATATCGAAGTAATATGATGGATATTTGATGAGATGATGAAGAAGTAATCTCAGAAAGGCAGACAGTAATAGGTAGTAACGATGGGGAAAAGGGTTGGCAAGGAATAGGGCGGAAGCTGCTTCTTAAATCATCGGCAACACCTAGGGTAGTGCAACCTCAGGACTTGCTTAAGGTACCTTACCTACCTAGGCACCTCCACTAATCCACTAACGTCAGTCAATCTTGTCATTGCCTTGCGTTACATTTGCAACATATGGAATCGATAGCCGTTTATTTTTATCAATTAATTCCTTTTCTTTGAAATTGTTATCTTCCATGTCAGAGACAACCTTAATACGAAGCTACCCTTTTTCCCTTTTCCCGACGCAAGATTTGGGTGTTGAGTATCCCATAGCCTCATTCCAAGCCCATACATACATCATTCTTTTGCAGGCTGAGCATTACGTCATGCTTTTACCACCCACCTGTGGCTCATGTCTGTACAGACTGACTTGATTGGTGGATGGCTGTCGTTCACGATTTATATTCCGCTGCCTAGAACGGTACTTAGAACCCTTCCTTGAGTCCTGCAAATTAGGTACCTTAATCTGGTAAGGCTGGCAATCCCTCAGGGTCGGAACCTGGACCCAGGAAAATACGTCTTAGCAGAATATCGTCAGAACTCAGAACAAGAAAGGGGATCCCTCGGGCGCCTTTTGCGATGATGCTCCGTCTGATTGCATGTTATGCTTATTCCATCACAAAGGTGGCTGAGAAAATTAGCCGCATGACGCTCTTTAATTCAAATATTACTCGTGCCTTATCTCTAACTGGCAGTGTGGTTTTTTTCCTGTTGCCTGGACCTACGTCAGGACTATCCTTAGTTTGAGGTCTATTTGCAGATTTTTCTTGGCTCGCAGATGTACTTGAAGCGAGAAAGACATCATAAACTCGGTCTTAGAATACCATCAGTTCTATCGATGGTCTCTATCTATACAGCATCAATCGAGCACTCGTCAGGTAACTTCAATAGTCACCTTGCCCTTTGCCTCATTCTCGAGACCTTGGTGCGCTCGGCATGGCAACTGGAGAGGAAATAGGGAAGAGGTCACGATGCTAGATGGAAGGAGGATGTAGTATCAGCACTCATATATATGCTCCAGATGAATGAAAATGACATCCAAATGCTGATAGAGGTGCCAATTCTACCTTGCCATTCTCACCCTTGGTACCTCTCTACAGGGTATCATGTCTTGGCGTTCGGTAAAGATAGCTTAAACTCCGCAAGATGTTCTCCGCATACAGAAATTATCAAGTTTATCAACTCTGCACTTCTCACCAGTTCAACGTCTTTCGACATCTACTGGTCAACCTTGTCCATACAGTATCGTTACTGATGCTTTCATGGCGATGAGGCTCGGGTTCGTCCCGCTCACAATGTCGACGCAGCGGGCAGTCGAGTCAATTCCCCTCCAACAGGTTCGCAGATGCTGTGGAGTGCAAAGAAGGGAAAGCCCATATCGCCTACAGAACGGCACAGCACGAAGATGGTTTCAGACTACAAGCACAGCAGCCCATGATCATTTACCCTTCGCCTACACATGGCTCACAAAGACACCTGAGCAGATCGTGAGTGCTCTCGCTCCGCTCCTTGGAGCAGCTAGCTAAATAGTCAAGAGACTCCTGACGATGTGCTTTCGAGCTTACCTCCGTCCTCCTCATCGCTAGCAGAAACAGGAAATGTTTCGGTCTTACTCGCCACTCCCTCTTTCGCTCAGTGGATAAATCCCGACGGTCAATTTCTCGAACGGTGGATGAACAGACTTTACCAGATACCTACAACGTCGGCGTCTCCAAGTCCCATCCACGCTATCCTTGCTGTCGTCGATAGAATACCGGATGCACGTCTACCGACAACCTCTGATGGAGTCATATCAGACTCCGAAGGATTGACAGTGACGACCGCGCAGGCAAAGGATATAAACGCAAAAGCTGCGGCCCCCCGTCGGGCCAGAACAATGGGAACAGAAGAGGCCGCCCTTGTGTTCTCAATTGAGACTAGTATTCCAGGTATACCTGATCAGACTCGCAGGCCTGTTCATGAGGTCGGGTTGCGGCTCGCCAACACCATTTTTGTCAATGGTAATGACAATACTCTTCTCGGAACACGCTGGGTTTACGATTCCTCAGCAAGAAAATATGTCTTAGATCAGTCACTCTCCTTGTCGAGCTGTGCAATAACGATTTTAGCAAGGAGTCTACAAAGCTCTTGTGGACTTCCGCTATATCCTGTCGGTCAGAGAAGAAAAGTCATTTCTAGCATGGGCAATATTCTCCGTCAGGTTGCGAAGCACGTTGATGGCAAGTCGAACGAACCGATGCCAGCTTCATCTGAACTGGAGAAGGAGCTTCCCCGATACATTGCAGAACACAACATTGCCGACCAAAGAGTCTCTGTTTGGGCCCTGGTCGAGAAGCCGGGTACCGACGTTGTACTCAGCGCAACTTCTACTCAGGATCGCCTTGTCCAATCAATTCAGGCCGGTGGCAAACTTCACCGTGTTATGAGTGGTGGAGGGGGATGGGGTAAGAAGCAAGGACTGCTGTCGTTGGATCCCGAGATAAGCTTTCTCCAAGGAAGAGAATACGGGGAGCTGTCAGTCCTTGATCACTTATTCCCAGGTAATGGCAGGGCCCCGGTCCAAGAGCCACCGCCCTTTGAGCAGCCTACAATGGCAATGGACGATTTGTCTTCGCTGTCACAAGTTGCTAGTCCAGGCGACTACGTTCAATTCTTCGTTTCTGTTGAGCCAGGCCAGACGCACAGTGGCCTTCAAACATTGTCAGAGCTACCTCAAGGGAGCGTTTCATATCAGTTCGGTATGGTTTCTGATGCAGATATGCCGGCAACCGAGGCCACTGAGCACATGGATCTGATAGCCCTTCCTCGCTATTTTGGCGCTCTATCAGAGAAAGCAATCACCTACTTCCAGCCCAAGATTGAGGCAAGCTCCAAGGGAGGTGTGCTTGGAACCAGCACCAAGTGTGATATCCCTGGAAGTCGAATTGAGATGACTTTGGCATGAGATTCCTGAACTCAAAACACATGTAAGAGCCCACAGGTGTATATAGTGTACAATGGACTCTACTAGTAATTTCACGCAACGTTACCTAGAAAAATCGTAAACTTTTCTCATGGTTTCAAGCTGGTTGACTTGGCCCTCCATTATTGTCGATCTGCCAAGCCGTAATCACGTGGCAGCGCAAAGGGTAGCTGAGCCTCTCCGAAGCAACCAGCGTGTTCGCCTTGACCTCCAACTCCATCCCGAAATCCAGAGCCTTCGCATCATCGCAACGATAGCTTCTGCAGTTCTTAAATACCCGTTGTCGATCACTTACGTCTCCCTGAAGCTTCATACGTTACTTTTTTGATAGCCCGACCGGTTTGATCTTTCAAAAATGGCCACAGAACTTTGGTACGTAATCACTTCATCTGCTCCTTTTCAACCAGTTACTGCTCGAATCCCGGTCAACCCCTGCAAGGACTCCAACTACAGATCTTCAGTGCTAATGCTTTTACCTGAATAGCCCAGTTTATGCAGTGAGTATTCTGCTCTTCCACAGCCACCGATACCAGAGCTCTTTTCCGTAGCCCCACGGATAGCTTCGTCATTGTTTCACCAGCACTTGGAGCAATCTCACTCGCGTCTTCAAATACAGTCAATACTGACTCTTATAGCCCTTCTTCGGTGCTCTCGGCTGCACTTCCGCCATTGTCTTCACTTGCTTCGGAGCTGCCTATGGAACTGCCAAGGCTGGTGTCGGTGTCTGCGGAATGGCCGTCCTCCGGCCCGACCTGATTGTTAAGAGTATGTTTTCGGCATCGTACCGGTTTGACATATGGGATGTATTAACTGATTCTCTTCCATAGACATCGTTCCTATTGTCATGGCTGGTATCATTGGTATCTATGGACTGGTCGTATCCGTCTTAATCGCAAACGACTTGGGTCAGAGTATTCCTCTGTACACAGGGTTCATTCAGTTGGGTGCAGGTCTCGCCGTCGGTCTCGCCGGTATGGCAGCTGGGTATGTTCTGTCACGATATCCTTTCCTGGATTCTGTTCCGTTTGGCTCTGAGCTAACCTTGCTCGCCTGCAGCTTTGCCATCGGTATTGTCGGTGACGCTGGTGTCCGCGGAACGGCCCAGCAACCCAGACTTTATGTCGGCATGATTCTGATTCTGATTTTCGCTGAAGTCTTGGGTGAGTAGCCGTGATATGTGACTCTTTCGTAGCTTTATGTCTCTAACCATTGCTTGTTCTTTGTGCAGGTCTGTACGGTCTGATTGTTGCTCTTCTCATGAACTCTCGCTCGAGAATCGACGCCAAGTGCTAAACAAGCACTCTATCGACTCTCACGAATGAGAAGAATCGAATCACTATCAAGCGAGATTAGCCCCGCCTTCTTTGTGTGTACCAAATCGCATTCTGGGCTGTGGGTTGCTCAAACACCATGAAACGAGATAATTGTCCTTATGTCTCGGAAATGATAGCAGGATCTGCTGTCCATTGTCCAGACTAAGGTACGAAAACTGACTTGAACGAGGAAGGTGGATCCGGGGCTCTTTAACTATAAATGGACAACAGATATAATGCTGATGTGTTGGCGGCCGAGAGATGTAGACTAGGGAATTTGGGTTGGTTCACAGACTCTGGTAGATACGTCGCAGGGCCAACATCCGCGGTGAACTTGTACTTTATGCGAGTTTGTTGTTGATCCTAGCTAGTCTGGGTCATTATCTTGCAATGCTCAATTTTTTTTTTTGTTTTTTTCCCCTTTATTTTCCATGTATGTTCTTGTTGGCTGGCTGGCATTCTTATTCCTGTTCTTCCAGCTTTCGAAGTATTAGTGCTATCACAACTATGCATTTGTTAAGAACTGATGGTAATCCGTATAATGGTGATATGAAAAACGACCGATACATTCGTCGAGGTTAGCTGCGTATTTCGAACCATACTAAAGTGCAAAGGGTCAAGTATATACTGCCATTATGATGGCTCTGGACGGAGAATAGTATACGGAATGATATTGTCTATTGATACCAGAATGCTGGATACTATGCATCATCGAGGAAAGAGATACCACAAGAACTATGTCAAAAAAGCTTAGAAGAGAAAGCATTGACGAGCCAACGGGATCAAGACCCGTCAGTCGAGACACGTCCAACACTTCTCAGGGTCGTGGTTGGTCAAGGGAAGACGAGGCAATGAAAGAGAAGAGAGACGCGGGGTGAATGTAAGAAGCTAATGTGGTGCGAAGCTCCCTTAAGCCTTGTCCAGCTTGCGTCGCAGAGTTCTCGTCCTGCGCAGCAGCTTCTTGAACTTGTGCTTCTTCATCTTCAGCTTGCGCCGTCTCCTGGTGCTGATGGCATGCATGGTGTTGTTGTCGCGCAGGCGCTCGATGTACGAGTTTTCCGAACCGTGGGGAATGTCGATGATAGAATCATTCTCCCCGGCTCCGGGAGCCTCCAGGTCCTGCGTGGGGACGAATGGGGAAGCATGGGCTTGGTATGTCCTGCGGCCGTCTGGATACGTGGACTCGTGGATGGTCAGAACAGTCGAGAAGCTGGAGGTCTCTTCGGCGGCGCTGGCATCCTTGGCCTCGTCGTAGGGGACTGGAGGTGGCGGGGGTTGGAAGGGACGCAGGCGTTTGGTGAGTTCTTCGATAGAGATTCGCAATTCGGACATATTCATTCCGTCGAGACCCTCCGCCTCATTGAAGCCCCGACTGAGGATGTTCATCTGGTCTTCTTGCTCGCCGAGGTTGTACGCCGCGTTCTCCATGTTATGAACGGCGGAGGAAAGTGTAAGAATCACATCGGCGGTGTCGGGCTTGGAGGGCTTCTTCGCGGTGAAGATGGCATCAAAGGCCTCGGCGCTGGAGGGTGGAGGTACAGTGGTAGAGACGGAAATAGGTCGATGAATGGAGAAAAATGACGCAACATGGACATCTGCCGGAAGACGGAAAGGTCAGTTTGAAAGCTATCACAGTCGCAGAGACATGCAAAATAAAAATGATACTTCACATAACAGGTATAATACTCACCGTGTGGCTGTAGATGTTGTGTTGAGGGGACACTAGGCAATCTCGAGAAAGCAGCATGCTGATTGGACTTGGAGCCATTCCGGCCATCCTTTCCCCTCCGCTTCGAAGATTTCCCTTCACGCTTATCCCCAGAGTTCACGCCCTTTGCCGGTGTCTGAGAAGAGGCATCGATGTTCCTTGAACCATCGCTGGGCTTTGAGGAAGAGGAGGAGTATCGGCGCTGACGAACATGTTCGGTGGTGCCCAAGAGGCCATTTGAAGACGAGGCTAGAGCTTGACTGGAGGTTCGAGAGATGCCGGAAATAGGCACAATGGGCGTCCACACGGCCCGGCGAACGGAGGATGGCAACATTTGCACAGTTAAGTAACCCAGCAAGTGGGTAAGGGAGTTTGCTTGAAGCCGGCGAGAGATGAAGGCGAATTCGAAGTCGGAATTGATCATGCGGAAATGGCGATTATGTCAGCTACTCCCGCCTCAGGCATTAATAATCACATGATCACATGATCACATGATCTCTTGGCGACTCGGTCATGCTGCGCTCGATTGAGTTTTTGAAACAGACATTGACTACCTCTCTATAGGTGTGCTTTATCTCATTTCACAGTACATGTCACCTCATCAGCGACATAGTATTCAGAATTTCTTCTCAAAAGCAGGGCGCTGCCCGGCAGCCGCATACCCATACCACACCAATTGATTTTGCACTTTTTACAAGATCCAGGTGGGCCTGCAAAGGATTTGCGCATTATTGGTCGATGGATCGCCATGCTGGTCAACGCGATATGGGTCTATAGCAATCTATAGAGGAGAAATGACAAAGACAAGAAATATACAGGAACTATGAACAGGAACAGTTATAAAAGTAATAATGATTAGGTATCCAACACCAATAAGGAGTGAAAGGAACATCAAAATAGAGTATGGGTATCACCCAGCAGCATATAGACATTAATACCATCGCTGAAATGAGCAGATATGGGATATCACGCTGCATGAGCTTTCATGCAATGTAGCATGGCAACGGAGCGAAGAGTCCACAATCTTTCGGTTGATCGCTTCAAAGAACGGAAGGTGAGATGAGCAGGTATAAGATATACAGGATAGGATATACAAAACATGGTTATGTAAGAGGTGAAAATCCAGATGTGTGAACGCTCTCATATGCAATGTGAAAGAAGCCTTGAAAAGCAGTGAAAATTCAGCGTCTCAGGTCGGCGGTAAGCCTCGACAAAAACGATCGTCTCGGTCCGAATATACTCATAAGATGAGCGTGTGGAGATTTTTCTGGATGATCATGTCCTGTACAGATTCCATAGTCGCTTTCAGAAGCGTTGTGTCTGTAGCATTGGTATAGTGAATGTAGATCTCACGGTCCGGTATTCGGTTGATACCGCGGAATCTATCGGCGAAGTACCGCGCTGCGGCGTCGAAATCCGAGTTCGAACCATTATAATCCGGAAAGTGCTTTGATACCGGTGAGAATTCGAGTTTTCCCCTGAAAAGGTCGATCTTGTTCAGGAATAGAATGATGGGCTTGCGCTTGAACCATTCTCCGTTCACCAACGATTCGAAGAGCATCATTGCTTCGTGCATTTGGTTCTGCGTTGGCGTTAGATAAGATGTTTCTTCAGAAGCACTGGTTCTGAATTCGACTTACGGCGTTTTGATCCTCCACTAAGCACTGGTCGTAGCCAGATAGCGCAACCATGAAAAGAAGGCACTGCACGCCCTCAAAACAATGTATCCATTTTTTGCGCTCAGACCGTTGCCCACCAACGTCCATCATTCGGAAATTCATTTGCCCCAGCTCGAAGAGAGTCTCCGTGATACCAGTTGTCCTTAAACGGGCCTGCAGCATGTCCTGATTGTCTGGTAGCCAACCGGGCTTGAATAGCCGGTCGAGGGACTCGAAAAAGCTAGAAGAGAGTAAGTAATCGCTGGAGAGCAAGATACCGTTGACGAGACCTACTATTGCAAATTGTCATGTAGAGCAAACTCGTGACCTCGAGACACAGCTTTTTGCACCCCTGCGTCAACCCACATCTCCCTCATCGCATCGCGGACCTTGTAATCTGAGAATGCTTCGTCCGACCCTACATCGGGCTCTAGATTGTCTATGAAGTCTGCCAATTGCTGAAAAGTAAAACTAACGATTAATATCATAATCGGAGCAAAGCTGGAACGGGAAATATGGAGGGTTCCCCTCAAGTTACCTTTGTATTCTCGAGTTCGAAATCAATCTGCTCTGCGCGCATAATATCCAGCAGAACCTTGAATGCGATGACGAGATTAGAGTATATAACCGCACGTGTCTGTCGACGCTCATCCTCAGGAAACCCTCCTGAGTGGATAATGCGCATCTGTTTGATAATTGTTGATTTACCCGACTCCCCAGCACCTGCAAGGAACCATCAGAATGTGTATTCGAGTTTATGGATGCGCCGTATCGTTTCAAGGGCATACCTAGTAGGAGAATCTTGATTGTCCTGTCCATCATTTTCTTGTCATTCTTCAGCGATTTGTCTATCCGAGCCGTCCGCTGAACAGCTTCTTTATCCGCTGCTTCGGCCTGCTTCGAGCTCATGCAACCCATGATGGAGGTTTTCGTAGTCGAGGATAAAGCGGGGATAGAGGGGACAAGGCAACTGCAGTCAGGAGCAATATGGTCAGCGGAACTGCATCGATACAACGCTTGCGAATTCGATCTTCAAGGCAGATTGCGAGTTTCTCTCAAGCTGAATCAGGAGACTGCGTGCACTCCACTAAGCAACCACTTAAACGAAAGGACATCGAGACATGTATCAATGACTCAGCATAAAATTGAGGTATAGCAATTGGCAGGAAGGTTCGAGGAAATCGCTTATTATGGGCAGTGTCCGGAGCGGAAATCTATCGACCTACCCGAAAGTACGTTCGAAGGCCTGTGGTTCTATTGGTGATAATGTTACAAGTCAGTACATAACCTTGGCCGGGGAAGTCGTCTCAAATGTGCTCTTATGAGTTAACGTACTTTCACTCCTGTTATAGGAAACGCCGAAGTCGATATGTTCCTGTCACTTTGATATCTCAAGGGTTGCAGACTGTTTCTCTGCCCTGCGGTGGTATGATGGGGGCGCGCTTCCGATTGTGAGGTATTGTCGAAAAGTTCGATGACAACGCAGCCGACTCTACAGCTTGCGAATCCGGAGTCGTAATCACAAAATCAGAGATTACGCCGCGACAAACTCCGAAATATCACAAGCCAATTTCGATAGTTCAACTGCAACCGAAACCGACTCGGATTCTGATGGGCGGAGATTCTGGGGTCTCGGATAGGTCGAATGGCGTAGACAAAAGTCCGAAAAAATAGGGACTCCTATGCCGACAGGCCGCGATGCTTTCCAACCTTGCAGGAGTAGGAATAGCAGTTATTCGCAATTACTCAAGAAACCAGCAGGGGCTATTCGACGTCTCTTCCAGCAACTTCCGCAGAGCATACACCGGTGTGAGGGCGTCCTCTAGAGCAAGGAGATCGGACACAGCGGACCGACTATTGTGGAGGGGAGACAAAGAAGGGAAGAAAGAGATGAACACCGGTCGCCAACAGATAGGAGCGATAGTACATATCTGTCGTCCCACAAGAGAAGCAGACAATGGAACGGGTCAGAGACCAAGCGGGGGAGGAGTTAGCCGGGATGGGACTGCAGGTTGGATTACCTTGGCTTTGAGTAGTAGCGGCGGTGGAGGTAGAAGTGGAAGCCTTCCGGAGTAGGAGTAGTAGAAGTGTCAAGTGAGATGCGCACGATGATTATTATTCAAGCAGTTCTAGGCTTGCGACCCGACCGGAGAAAGGCTAATTTGGCACCATTTCTCTCAGCTATTGAGTTGAAACTAAATGAAATCGATGTCATTGGTATAATTTGATTATGTTTATGTTTCAGAGCAGTCATCGAGAGTTGCCCCTGGTTCTTAAGGACTCTGTACTCGGCAGTGTCTACCAGATGCTGAGTAGGTACCTAAGTAGGCTCCATTAAGGGAAACATCCAAAAAGGCGCTCCTTGGTATGTATTGTTGTTCTGTCTAAATATTACTCTCTGCCTCAGAGGTTCTTTTCCTCTGAGATACTATTGGACTTCCTGACAACTATTTTCATGTAAAAAAGGTACGGGTTGAGGGAACAAAATAACGGAATTCCAAGTGGTCCAGAAGGTCCAGTTGTACCCACTATGATGGACCATTAATGACTCTTCATTCTTCGTTCGAAGACGCCAGGAACACTTCCATGTCTCTTTTGCTGCACCTAGAGACTAGATGCATACAGGCAGCATATTCCTGTTGCATCATCCATGAGACATCAATCAATTATGTCGTGAAACAATGCTGCTGGCGATGTCCCTGTCCACCTATTTGACAATGCACCAGCCACCAAGCCATGTGTCGCTGCTCCTGACAGACTAGTATCTATCTGTCGTCCTAGTCCATCATGGCCCAACCCGAGCCCATGATTAGTCCCCTTCATTCCCTGTGCTTTTTCCTAAATCTTCTAGTTCCACCGAAAGCAGCCCCCCAATTCCCTTTCTTGGCGAGCAACCGCAACCAAACGACGCCACGAGGCAGGCATGAATCGCATTTTCGCGGGATTGGAATGCAAGGATCGACAGAGGGCTACTCTTGGTACATCCACTATCACGGAATATTATTGCTATTTTGCTTAGCGAAAGTCTCCTTCTGGTACTCCGGTATTTATTCAGGGAGTCAATATTATTTCGTTTCGGCGCATTGTACAGATTCTGGATGGTGTGTATCTAATAGCGAATGGTATCACCAAGTGTGGTACCTAGCTCTCTGAACATGCTACTAATCCTTCACAATGACTCGAGCCCACTCTAAAAGGAACGATTTTCGCTGAAATAATCAAATTTTATGACTCTCAGTATCTGGCCTTTGGTTTCATGATCTTCTTGAACAGTACTCTGTTTGAGATTACCTAGGCAGGGGTTCCTAGCTCGATACGAACTTGAGGGTACCTACAGAGGACACTTCAAGCAGATAATGCAAGCTGCGCCACATTTTGTGACAGGTATCTATCTACCTTAAAAGGTAGTATATACATATGAACAGACGGAGTAACAGACAGAAGTTGCATATTCGGACAGATCATATTCGGTACGTTGAGCCAGATTCTTGCAGCTTGAAAGTATCATAGCCAACCATACCTCCTCAGTAGATACTCCGTAGACCATAAATGAATTGCTGTACGGCGTCAACGCAGTATGACCTGTATCCTAATAATCATCATTATTCAATGTAAATCCTGTGCGTTTTCGGTTTGCTGTCCGAGGCCCAAACCTAAACCAGGTTCATGAAAATCGGAGTGGGATCATTGAGTTCTAGTACCTGGCTTAGGCCGATACTTGCCGTATCTGGTTGAATTGTTGTCGAATCTTAGCGTCTAAAGATATGAGCACACGACTGGTTCTAGAGACAACATCCCATGATTCAGTAGGCACTACGGAGTACTCCGTAGTACTCCATAAGTAGTCCTCTCTTTATCACGGATCATTTCGATATGGATATAATTCACTGCCAACAAGCTCCTCGGTTTTCACGGTCCACAACCTTGACACTCAAGCATCCATCAAACCACGTGTTGGCCGTGGCGCCTTAGCTAGTTCAATCCACAATGACCTGACCCTTGGTATTCCGGATAAGAGAATCACTATCTGACAAGCCACTATTGTCAGCAACTCCACATTCCATTATTCATGATCCAGCAGTGACATTCTCTGGATCTGGTGCTCTTTAGAAATGAGGTGAATCAGGTTATTTCCCAGCACTTAACTACGAGTCATACGTATTATTTAACACAACATACGAGCCCTGCCAGTAACTTGGCTTAAATCTCGAGTCTAGGCTGCATAGCCCATGCCATATGGAACAGAATGGGCAGGTTGCATGCAAGGAGACGAACTTCAAATAGCCCTTCCGAAGCCCAAAGCATGATGATTTCTTGGCCTTGCCCTTGCAGTAACAACTGCCGACTACCAAATACATAGCCAGACCATCATGAGCTAGTCTATGGCATGACTGGGAAGAGAAACCCACTTACTTAGAAGCAGCATCTGAGCATATTTTTTATCGCCTCAACTTCGGTCATGTTCGATATGACAGCACAGTGACTTTCAGTTTCGATTTGCGTCTGTTGCCAGGCACTCTAAGCTCATTGTCACAGGCTGACAACTGGCCAACCACGTTCGGACTCTTCATCAAAGCTGTTAAAGAATATTTTAGTGAAATAGTACAAGGAAGGAAAGCTCCGACTTCAGAACTGAGCTCTGCCAGAGTGCCAAGGGTTTGCCCCGTTGGTGACGCATCCAACGGCCGAAAATCCACGAAGTAGGAAGACATTGACACGGTGGATAAGGATTTCCTGACCAAGGACATGTTTGATTGGAAGTTCTTTTCAGAGCTTCATCAAATCCTGGGACTCAAACGCACTGGCTCTTGCTATCTACCAGAACATGTGTATGGTTATGATACTGTCAGCCGATAGGTAAACACGGCCTTCTCGTCCTCACCGACATCTGGTACTATTTCCATTGTCGTAGATATGTCACGGCAGCACACTTGAAGATTCTAACGTACGGGGTTAAGACCAGTGTATATACCATATAGTCCGCCATACCGAGGTTCTGTTTTACAACTTTGATGTGATCGCCTCGCTGCCGTTGCTTTCGAGACCGTGCAACACTTCCCCTCAAAACCTCCATAATTTTAAATTCTGTCAGCCGGAAACCTCCTGTTCTGCGTTGCTTGAGAGCAAGTGCCGATGTTTGAGCGAGATATTGCCGTCTCTGCTTCTTCATGATCAAACACACACCATCATACATCCGTATTTCCGAAAATCGAAGCAGTTAGAAATACATGAATGCTCAATGCGAACATTAGGCACGGATAACCCTAATCCACTTGGCTGATGATCATCATAAGACTTGGGGAACGTTGGGGAGCGTCTGATTTGGGAAGCTTCTGCTTTGGCCTCCTGCAAACTGGGAAATACCTATCTGAGCCGGCTTTGCTGAGGACTAGAAAACCCGTAGATATCCCGTACGCTGTAGAGAACTGAAGACAGATCATGCCATATACAAAGAGAATATAGCTGAAATAATTGGATGAAGGGAAAGCCAGCACGGAGCGAGATAACCATCCATTTGTGGACTTCCCACTCTGGGCCAATCTTCATTGTTTCTGACTTCTTGGAACGATGGAAGGCCTAGATTAGATTATTCAGAAAGACAGAGATAATTCGGGCCTTTGGCAGCTTCCGTTCTTTTTTCCAATTGTTTATTTGTTTCGGGACTTTTTAATTGAGCCAAATCAACATAAAGTTTGGCAAACTTGACGAGTAGTGGGGCTGTGCCCGTTGACAGTTACACAGTTGACAAGTTGACAACTAAGGTAGATACAAAGGTAGATATCTACTCTATCTATTGGATTGGGAGGGTAATATGCAACTACCCCAACAATGATCATCATCAGAACGGAATTACAGTTCTCCATATGAACGGTCAGGTCCCAGATATCTATTAAGTGTTATCTCAGACATTACAGCCTGGTTTCTTACGATCTCTGCTAAACTTGTCTAAATTGAAGCTTGCCGTTTAACGGGTTGTATCACGCAACCTATGACCGACATGCTACAATATAAAGGCTCGTCCCACACATCTCAAGCTCATTGAACATCTAATAACATGCCTTTTGAAGATTTCCGACTTTGACCGCAAGAACAGCTCAAGCTAGCGGCTTACTCATCATTGATCCATGTGACGCCATCATAATAATATGAAACGAAAGACAATTAAGGAGAGCCTCCTGTCTTGTGAACGATAGACCTCAGAACTCAAGCACACAAGCTGTTGTATACGTTGTATTGTCGATCACACGCATAATAATCACATATAGATATATGAGCGAACTTTGAATCAGCCCGCCGTGAGCTACAGGGAGAAAATGACTTCCAGCGCTCCCCCTTATAGTTACAGGTTAGTTGCAGGACAGTGGCCTCTGTCACCGTCACGCATTCACTGACTATCTCTATAATGTAGTTATGAGGACCCTGACGATACCTTTATACTACGAGAGCTATCGACCCCCGAGCTGGAGAAGCGCCGGTTCCTGTACGCCGATGACCATGCCCGAGATGGTAATCGCAATACCATTGAGTGTGATTCGAGGTCGTTCAACACACCGTGGTATCGACGAAGGGGGTCATGTTTCTCACTGATCCGATTTGCTGTATTCTCTGTAATGATATTCATCTCTGTCGCCTACTACTTTTGGTCTATAATTCCCAGTGCGTCGATAGCAAGTCAATGCAGGTCCTCATTATCCCGTTCTAACCACACCATCATGCAGACGAACCGTCCGACAGCGTTCCTCCCCGCCCTGTGTCTCCCGCACTCTGCGAATCGCCAGAATGTGTACATGCTGCCTCCGAAATTCTGTACAGTCTAGATCCAAACTATGCCGAGATCGATCCTTGCGAGGACTTCGAGCAATATGTTTGTGGCGGCTGGAGAGAACGTCATGATCTGCGACCTGATCAGGGCTCCATGTTTACTGGGACTCTCATGGCCGAAGCTGCTCAGATGCGTCTTCGACACATTTTGCAATCCACAAGTGCCCCCGAAGCTGCTGATGAAGAGAACTTTAGAAAATTGAAATCCGCTTATGATGCTTGCTTGGACGAAGCCACCATCAGCAAGCGTGGTAGCGAGCCACTAGATGCTATGCTGGCTCAATTCGAAGATATTTATTCTGCAGAGTCTGCTGCGGCTGGTTCGGATGTAAATATCACTGACGCAGTATTATTCCTGATGAATTTTGGCGTTACGGCTTTGGTAGAATTGGACCCTGGTGTAAGTACTCCACCCTTTGCAGTCCACATCTTTTTGTTCTCCTTTGTTCTAACAGACGAAGCCCGACGATCGTGATCCGGACAAAATTGTTATCTCTGTAAGCCCACCAGACGAGATTGGTCTTCCGGTCAGGGAGTACTACAACAGCTCCCAAACTGTGTCCGAATACACCGAAGTGTTGAAAGAAGTCCTTGGGAACTTTGTCAAACAAGACAAGCAAGTCCACGTCGATGATATTGTGCTGTTTGAATCGAAGCTAGCAAATGCAACACCAGATACGCAGACCTTGAAAGATGTGGAGAAGTACTATAACCCACGCAATTTTGACCAGATCGAATCTATGCTGCCACAGATTTCTTTGTTCTCTATGGTTTCCGCGCTTTCCCCTGCCGATTTCAAGACCGATCGCCTGATTGTTTCTTCGCCGTCGTATATGGAGTCGCTGTCGACTATTCTGAGAGAAACCCCTAGGAAGACTATTCATCTGTTCTTCAAATGGAAGATCATCCAGGCGTATGTGGACCAGATTGAAGACGCCAAAATCATGCCCCTGCGCGAGTTTTCCAACAAGCTAGCCGGCAAAGACCCCAAAGCTACAACCGAGCGGTGGAGAATCTGTATCAGGTCGTTAGATCGAGGACTCAGCTGGAGTCTCAGTCGATTCTATGTTCTCGATGCCTTTTCCAAGGCCTCTAAGGAACTGGGTGATCAAATTATTTTGGATATTAAGCAACGGTTTGTGAACATCCTACACCAAACCAGTTGGATGTCGCCCGAGGTACGGAAACTCAGTATTGAAAAAGTGGACAACATTGTCCAAAAGATCGGATACCCTACCAAGAGTCCAAATGTGATGGACCCAGCGGACATTGAGAGGTATTATCACGAGCTTCATATATCCAATGAGACCTTCTTTGAGAACGAAATGGCTATTGCGAAATTTGATCTTCACCGAGCCTGGTCGAAGTTGGGCAAGCCCACGGACCGAAACGAATGGGAAATGAGTGCTCCAACTGTGAATGCCTATTACAACCCTCCCTTGCAGGAGATCGTGTTCCCCGCGGGTATTATGCAGCCGCCAGTGTTCTACGGACCATCTGCACCCTTGTATCTGGCCTTCGGAGCATTTGGCGCTGTGAGTGGGCACGAGCTCTCCCACGGTGAGTGAAGCCCTGCATCAGAACTATCATCCTGAAAAGCTTCTTATGGACCGCGTTAGCTTTCGATTCGACTGGTCGGCACTATGACCAGACTGGGAACTACACCGACTGGTGGGACGAGAAGACAGTCCAAGGTTTCGAAGAACGCGCGCAGTGCTTCGTCGACCAATACTCAAATTTCACCGTTCCAGGAGAGAATGGGGAGCCTCTCCATGTGAACGGGCGCCTTACTCTAGGCGAGAACATTGCAGACGCTGGAGGCCTCGGAGCCGCATTCCAGGCATGGAAGAAGAGAGACGAAGCCTCGCCGGATCCTCACCTCCCCGGCCTTTCCCACTTTAGCAAGGAGCAGCTCTTTTTCGTCGCCTATGGGAACTGGTGGTGTGCTAAGACGACCAAGGAAGCCGCCATTCAGGCTATCTATACTGACCCCCACGCTCCTAAGTTTGCAAGGATCATGGTGAGCTGAACTTCTGCCTCTTTTGATATAGGATAGTGTTGACGATGATAACAGGGCACGATGGCCAATTCTCGAGAGTTCAATGAGGCATTCAGTTGCCCCACCAAGAAACCCGTGTGCAAGCTCTGGTAGCTAAAGTGGTTTTTTTCTGCTCATTAACTCTGCAACGTATGCCGTGATTCTGTACCACTGGGCGCCTGTAATCTTATTGAATGATATACCGACTGTACCGGCTGTAGTCTTCGCTAAAGTCTACGACTGCTTGGATAGTGCTCAACCATGCTTCCTTCCATGTCTCTCCCCTCGAACAATCTGCTTTATGCCAAACACACGTATGATTGGCACGACAAACCTTGAGGTATGGAATTTCAATCACGTACTCCGTAGATAAGTGTACACCAATGCCAATGTAAACGAATTATAGATGAATACATCGAGTCTATAAACAAGAAGGCAGCGTGAGAAATGGACCACACCATCAGGCAGACCTACAGGTACGCCAATCTGAAAAGATCAATCGATACTTTTATTACTAGTCAGTCTACAAGTCAACCCAACCATCCTTCCGCTCAACCCTTCTTTTTAACGTTTCGCTACAAATATGTGGATCCGCTGGGTTATCTACACTGCAGTTAGGAAACGTATCCCCAATCAGCGACCGTCGCTTCATCACAAGAGGATATTTATTTTGTGAGAATCTCGCGGTTAAGGCGGGCTGATTGATCGTTCCTCGATCGCTCTTGTGTGTATTTACTGTGAGTTGCTGAATTTATGTATCCATGCATTGGGTGTCAGGTGCAATATGATAGCTAAGTAGGGTGGCATGTCTGCAGTTCTGAATGGCTCTTCATCTACCCAGCAATTAGGTTCGAAAACCGTTATGTGTCAGATGATCAACCGCCTTGTGGATAGGTAGCAGGACCAAAGTTCTGTCGCCGACGGAATACATCGGTCAAACCTGGGGCAACTTTATCCCTCACCTGTCTTGGTCTGTACGAAGTACACTCAGCTACCTATCCTAGGTACCTGGTAGCTACAGGACTCGTATTGGCAGAGAGATTGGCAAGCTAGATACCAGAGAGCTGATCGTAGGGGCGGGACGGAGTATCCTTTTTGTTTCATTTTACCCCTTCTCCTTTTCTCCCTTTCCCTTGCTGCCTCCTTTTCTCTTTATCATGACATTTCGTCTTCTTTCCACCCCCTTTTCTAGGTTCTGAACTTGTAACTAGCACGGAGTATTTATGGACGGACGTCACAGGTAGGCGATCATTTGATGGCCTAAAATTAATCCGTCCCACTTTTTTGTAGCTCCAACGGCCCTGTAAGTGCGTTAGGTATCCAAGTCAATACTGTACACAGGTATCCTACTAGTAGTAGTTAGTTTCCGACTTTCCTGCCTCATACTGGCTGGCTCTAGATAGACTACTGTGTGCACTTGTCGCTCTTGGTTTTGATCTGCTGGTCCAGCCTCCATGAAACATCGATCGGCGGTTGGATATGAAGTCACGGGGTCTCTCCTAACAATAGTAGTTATGGAAGCTCTCCTAGTCGCAGGCCAATACTCCCTATAGTCGTAGACTTATCAACCATGCAAGATATTCGACACCACTTGTACTTTGCTGTATAATTCCGAATTCGAGCTGTTAGAGTTTGGTGGAGACAAAACCATAATATTCTACAGAGTAGGTAGATAGGTACCGCTTCCTAAAACCATGGATACATAGAGGCCACCCCATGCCCCGGATGCCATTGACTTTGTACCGCTCGGTAGAACCATAGAACAGTAGAATTCAGGTTGTTTCTATGGTTCAACAGTCTGAAGAGAAATTCCCTTTAAAAGTCCCTCAGCTACATGATCCAATAACCAATGCAAAAACGGAAAGGAAGAGATGAAATCCTTCATATGATCCTCGGATGGATCCTGATTTCCCTTAGACAGTTAGACAGCCAGACAGCCAGACAGCCACAGAGGTTCCGCTGGACTGGAACGGTCCCACGCAGCGCCCCCCCGATCAGGGCTGGAATCAACGAACTAGTGAGACTGTGATGCGCGTCTTACTTGTTTCTAATTTCCATTGCTTCTCACTCTTGCTCTTTTTATTCCTCTCCATCACGCGGCTCCTCGGACATTCATCGGCTACGGAGTACTTCATCGTCTGCTTCATGATTTGACCACGTTATGAATTAATGCATCTGTTTCTGTTTTGTTTGAGATCCTGTTTTGTACGGACTGTCTGTTTTCTCCGAGGCTTCTCAGCAGCAATCATCTTGAATCGATACATCACCTCCGTTATCATCTGTCGCATATTGTCTAATCTCCTACTATTCGCTGCTCGTATTGATTCGATTCTGCCAGATGCCGAGCCAGTTCGTCACACCGTCTCGGTCTTGGAATCAAATCTACCCTGTCATTCGCCATCTCTTCTTCGCAGCCTGCAGTCACCACAATAAGCACAATATCACCAGCGCACTATAGCCTCACCAGGTTTGGTCATGTCGTGTCGCAAGCACGGATTTCAACCCCAGCTTGGGCTGTCCATTCGTCTTCCCTCGGTGTAGTCGACGCGAACTTTGTGAAGCAGGGGGACGACTAGTCCACTATACATATCATCTCTTCGTCTTACTTAGACGTTACCCGATCTCCCGTGGTTTCTCCCTACATTAGTCGCCATGGAGTCGGTGGTATTGGCACCTGACAATATCCCTCTCCAGTCGGATCGACCCAAGGACCTTTCCCCGCCCGTACGCGAACGTGAATATCTCGCGAATGAACCAATCGATATTGAGACCCGGTTTGCCACGCCAGCCTCCAATTTACGACGCGCTCACACTGTGGCACAGGGAAGGAACATCGCAAAATCAAATGTTGGCGTGAGGGCGGTCCGGGGAAGGGTTGCATCCTCGATCCTACGTGCCAAGGACAGCCATGAAATACTGAAGAAGCGGCCTGTTCAGCGCTTCGACATCCCACAGGCTCCGCGTGATGCGCTTGCAGGTGCAAGGGAACCGAATCACTTCACAGTTGGAAATGTCGGGCAGAATGGCAAGATCTTTCTCAGGTATGGTTGGAGCAGGCGCTCAGGTTTCACGAGGCTTGGAAGAGACCACAAAATGACTAATGGACCGCTCCATTCGTTCAGGCCGATTCAGAATCCATTGCACAAGGAACCGCATCCTACGTCCTTTCCCCCTCCACCGGCTCGGTCCAAGACCGACCACTTGCATGTGCAGTCGCGCAGTCATGATGGAAACGACCCGTCACGATGGTCCAACTCGCAGCTCTCTGAACTGCGCCCCGAATCCATACTGGAGGAAGGTGGTGAGGACGGCGATTCTGTGGTCACGGACGAGGCAGCCTCTGAGTACAACCGTCAGCACCAGCATCGCCAGCGAGCGCATTCCGTCTCCTCCATATCAGAGCAGCAATCCGTGTCGGGTGGAAAGCGATACGGGGAGTTTCGGATCTTCATTGACAGACCCGACGATCGACCCAGATCTGCAGACGACTCTCGGCGCCCGACACTGGATATCCCAATCCCCCACTACCGATTGGGAACGCCACAATTCAATACCGAGGGGAGCGCCGCTTTGCACAGCTCTGTATATTCACGAGCATCCTTGTCCGACAATTTTCGCGTTTCGGGGTTCTTGAGAGAAAATTGCAGCACTAGTCCCAGTCCTGGTCCCAATGTCTACATCGGGGACTCATTTCAGCCAGAAAGGCCGTCCTTTGCTGCCTCTCTGTTCTCCGGCCAGCCAGCTATGGAGATGCCTCGAGCCTCAACTACGACGGTGAATCCGGTCTTCTACGAAATGAAAGAGCCCATTGAGCCCCCCATATACGATCGTCTATGTTCAAAAATGCATGACAGTTCTGTAGTCCGCTATATCTCAGGGACCAAGGACATCGGCGCGGCCACTCCAGCACGTCTTGTAGCACAGATATCGTCCGAGTCCTTCATGGATTATGAGCTCGTGTCTGACTTTTTCCTCACCTTTCGCTCCTACCTCTCCCCCAGTAACCTTCTCTCGCTTCTGCTCGCTCGGCTGCAGTGGGCCATCAACCGACTTCAGGACGATGGCCGGATTATCCGCATTCGCACCTTTGCCGCGCTCCGGCATTGGATTCTCAATTATTTCGCCGATGACTTTGTCCCTGATTATGACCTTCGCGCTCGATTTTGCGACACAATCAATACCATGTACGACAACGTCAAGGCCCGAGAAGGGGGTGGGATGAGTGACTTGAAAATATTGATCGATCTTAAGCGCTGCTGGCATGGCAAGTGTGCCGCCTACTGGGACTTGCCGACAGATCATGTAGCTCCAGGGACAATCATTGTCCCGGGTGGCCTCGACTTCGAAACGGCCCCCAAGGGCGAAGGCAATGCTGAGGACGATTCTACAACGCCTGAAGTCAACCACGAACACCAAATTGGTGCCCAGCAGAGTTTCCCTGCTCTTCAGCAGATCCAGCACGATCGGAACAATTCCACGGCTACGGCAAAGAGCATGCCGGCATCTACAAGAAGCGATCATAGTGTTCAGGCCACATCTTGTTCCTTGCCACCGAAATCTCCTAAGCGCCTCTCCGTACCTGTTGCCGCATGCAAGGCGCCTCATCCAGTGCCTATAATCCCGTCTAAGCTTCTATGTTCCCCACCCGAGTCGCCAAACGTGTCCCCAATTATAGCGAAGCGCCTCCCGTTCCATGGCCATGCGCACAAGCGCAGTGGTAGCTTTTCTGACTCCGTTCGGGATGACAGGGCGCCTTTGTCCTTGTTGAAGCTTGAACAGCAGGCGTTCGCTTCTCAAGAGATATTGAACCTAGGAAGCCTGATTCGTGGCGAGCTGTACCCTCCAGCCGAGTCGTACATGACCATGATGGCACCACCTTCTCCCCCTTTGCCCTTGTCCGCGAGCGCTGGCGCGCAGGACCGTCGCAATACAATGAATGAGGCTCCAAAGCCTCCTGGCTCGAGTTCAGGGATGAAGACGATTATCGGGTCTATTCGCCGAGCTCTACATAGCAGGCACGGAGGACAAAGCGTCTCGTCGCGTGCCGCGAACGGCCAATGGAGCCCTTCAATGCGGGGGAAAACATCAGCCTTACCCAATAATGTAGCCTTTGGATCCGATCTGTACAGAGACAGAAAGTCAGCGGCGACATCAAAGAGGCCGATTCGAATTGATATTCTGTGTGACGAGGCGTTGGAAGAATATCGTCGTGCGGTTGGCGAGGTAGATTCTCCCCAGACGGCTAAGGCCGCCAGACTAGAAGTAACCGAGCAAGTGATGGAACTGGGAGGCAAGAAGACAGACCACTCGGCTCCCGGCTTCGACCGCTCAAAGGCCAAAAGTCAAATCACCATGGGCAGTCAATCTATCGTCATTGTGGATGACACCGGGGTGGGAGATCCTGTCATGTCTGGAGCTGTGCTGGAGCATTCGACGGGGCTTGAGCAATCTCCTGGCTTTCTGAACGCTGCGTACACACCCACAACTGTCAAAGCAGCCTCTCTGCGCCCTCCGTCTCATAGGTCGACTATGGCAGAAGATCAATATTCTCTGCCCATCTACTATGAGGAAGCGGACTCTGGGCCACCTCATGGGATCTCGAGGTTCCTTCGCTCATCCGGGATCTCTGACCCACGCCGATCATTCTCCACGGAGCGTTTCTCGGTCTCTTGGAAGAGAACATCTCCTTCTCTTCGTCTCCGAAAATACGCTTCTTTTCAAAGCGGAATATCGAGACAGCTTTCGTCCATGGCCCCAGGGCCATCGCTACCGCCAGCTGCTGATTCGACCCCTTCTAAACTCACAGTTGGAACGCACGTTGGACCAACGCTTCGTCGGCGCCCTGGTGGAGATTTGCGGCAGATGCAGACTGTGCGTGGCCTGCGGTCGCACCCGGGTTCCGGATCATTTGCTTCTGGATCGACCTATCGCAGCTCTTTCCCTGATAGCCTGATTAGTCGACAAGATGATGAAGTTTGCAGGCCCCAAACGAGCCTGATCCCTCCTAACCCGCGATATGAGTTGATTCAGACTCACTCGTCTCAGATGTTGAGACGCTCATTTGAAGCTGCTATTGCGCAATTTGCGCAGATCCCGGATGACGATGACGGAGGGATCGAGTCCGCGTTGTTGAAATTGGAGGGAAAGTGGCCCGGGTCTCCTACCGGCGGTGAAGCGACAGGGTTCTCGCACGGCGATCAGGATCATGATGGCATGTGCAGAGAGCCAGGCCATCTTCAACACGGTCAGGCCCTCGGGTCGTATGACCCTACAGCATCAGAAGTTGCTCGCAGACGGTGCCAAACTTTGCTCGGGACCGATTTGCTCCATCCGCAAGCTCGACGGCGCCTTTCCCCCTCCAGACCGTACTCCGACTCGCTTGCGGGATCGGAGTCGGGGGAGTCGTATAGCTCAATACCGCTTCTCGAGCGAGGCCTGAGTGATGAGTCGATGAAGAAACCCGACCCGTCCCCAGGATCGCAAAATCCTACTTTGCTTCGGCCTAGGCTGAGCAGGGTATCGACTCAGTATACAACAGAAGTTGAGTCCTCTCATCCATCTATCGATATCGTCCAAAAAACCGACAGCCTTGAATGTATCCCGCGAGGATCCACCATTCCTGTGCCTTTATTCAAAGGTTCTAAAGACCGACGGGGACGCCTTTCAGGACTTTCGTCCGAACTTTCTGTTGATATTATAGGATCACAGGAATCTTTTGACCCGCGGCTCTCGTTGGACACGCAGAGTCTTGGGGATTCCTCGTTTGGCATCCCACCTCATCCTTTGGCTCACCCTCCTTCGCCCCCGATGACCATACAGAATCCTCGTTCAGTGGCCTCCTGCACCACGCCTATGGATCCAGTTCTGTTTCCAGCGGAGCCATTAACTCCAGACCCCTCACCTAGGAACAAGGAAGCCGAACGGAACAATCTTCGCCCTTTGAGCACTAACCAGGTCTCGAGTGATGTGCTCTCTCGATCTGAGATGGATCGCCAACGCTACAATGTGTCCAATAACCTTGAACCAGACCATGTCCCATTCATTCTCTCATGCGAGTCCCAGATCCTTGCTCAGCAGCTGACCCTGGTCGAGATGGCTGCGCTCAGTGAGGTGGATTGGAAAGACTTGGTCGATATGAACTGGAGTAGCGGCTCACCCTCGACTCGGAACTGGGTGCAGTTCCTCACCGAGGAGGAACGAAGGGGAATAGATCTCGTAGTGGGTCGATTCAATCTCATGGTGCGATGGGTGGTTTCGGAGATCGTTCTCGTGCGTACGGTAGAAGAGCGAGCTAGCACCATCGTCAAATTCATCCACACGGCTGCCCACGCGAGACGGATCTGTAACTACGCAACGATGCTGCAGATTGCCATTGCTTTGTCTTCCACGGACTGTTCGCGACTGCAGAAGACTTGGGCTCTGGTGCCACCATCGGAAACACGCCTGCTGAAAGACATGGAACTACTCATCCAACCTATCCGCAATTTCCATGATCTTCGCATGGAAATGGAAACGGCCAATTTGCAGGAAGGCTGTATCCCGTTTGTCGGTCAGTGAGCTCTCGGCCGACGATATCATAGACATGCTGACTCAATTTTCCCAGGATTATACGTCCATGACCTCACCTACAACGCGCAGAAACCAGCGCAGGTAGCAAACCCCAACGGAGAACCGCTGGTCAATTTCGAGCGATATCGCACGGCAGCCAAGATCGTCAAGAGCCTTCTTCGACTGATTGACGCGAGCACCAAATACAAATTCGAGCCTGTGCCGGGCATCATCGAGCGTTGTCTCTGGATCGCATCGCTTTCCGAGGAGCAGATTCAAAAACGCAGTAGGATGCTGGAATGAGCTTTTGATACCCCAGTCGTTTTCTCTTCCTGTTTTGGTCTCTGGGAGATTTACCTATTATTTGCATCTACCTTGGAGGAGTCTTGTGTTTTTGTGCTTTTGCATTTGCCATGGTATACACATATACCCTGCAGGGATATCTTGTTCATGTTTTGTTATTCGGCTGATCATGCGTAAGCAATTATCACGTCAATTGATGTACATTATATACCTGCATTTATTTAGCGCTTGGAGGATGGGAGACTGGATGGAGCAATGATTGTTGAAGGTATTTTAGCGGTTGAAGGTAATAAGCAGTAACTTCATCGATGACATGTTGAACGTGCGGCGGGCGTCCTGTCATGGGAATAATGGGAGAAGCGATGATGAAATGCGGGCATGCTTGCGCAAATTCAAGCTGCAGAGGATGAAACGCGCCCTCTCAGTCGAGATGATTGAGAGTGGAGCTGGATCATGTCAATCACTCACAGGTTTTGTCCACAAATGAAAGGGAAAGCACCGTTAATAAATGGAAATCCCCGATGCCGCATCAACGTAGACTGACAGACACTCATAATCCATCCCACTCTCCAGTCTCCTGTTTCCGCCTTGCTTCCACCACCAGTACCACCACCACCTCCTCCTCTTCTGCCCACGAGGGATCATTTATTCCCGCATAATCAAAGAGGAGGCTTTCCTCCATAATTACTACCGGTCCCCTCCATGGAGCTACTACGGCCTAATCCATTCTGACCCGCTCCGATTGCTTTCCTACCAGTTAAAAGGTTAACCACGACATGGATTCGCCAGCATCCCCCCGCAGGGCTTCCGACGAGCTCAATCCCAGTCATAACAAAGAGATCGACCGAGATGATGACTTGGAGGAGGCGGATCTCCAGCCAAAGCAGAAACCGAGAGTTCTTCCGGATGATTTACCCACGTCATTAGACGATCGGCGCTCTGTGCCTATGCTCCAAGAGACGGAGATGTACGATGCCTGGCAAGGTGGGTGGTATACCCTTATCTTTTGCGCTGTTGTTGTCGCGGGGTCTACTCTACAAGGACATAGTCTCGACTACCTCTGGTCGGCTTGATTTCAATTACGCAAAGAGTTCATGGCAGCTAATGTAATCCCCATGCCCGCAGGCCAATCGCAATTCCTCACAACCCCCATCGCCGCAAAACCACTCAGCTTCAGTCTCGCGCTCGACGACCACTCCCACGACGACGAACATACTCTCCAAGCCCATTATGGGCGCGGGCTCGGGGCCTCGCTGGACGATGACAACGCGTCCACCATCACAGCGCGTCTGGAGGACAGCGACGCCCGGTTAATGGAGATGCTGGCGGCACAGGCGGCGCACCGGGAACTCGAATCGCTGGACGCTGACGAGGACGCCATTGCGAGCGACGAGAAGCTTACGGACGAGGAGAAGCGAAAGATCCTGCAGCGGAGCCTGAATATGGCGGCGAGTAATGGCGATGTGGACCGCGTGCATAAGCTTGTGGGGGGCAAGGCGAAGGACTACGTTGATGTGAATATGCCGGATGAGGAGGGAACGGTTCCGCTGATCTATGCGAGCTGTTTTGTGCGTATTTGGATATTTTTCTCTCGTCGGGGTTGGGTGAGATACTGACTGAGAACAGGGCCATCAGGATGTTGTTTCAGCGCTGCTCGATGCCGGAGCCAATGTCGATCAGCAGGATCGAAATCAGTGGAGCGCGCTGATGTGGGCGATGACGAACCGGCACAAGACTATTGCGAAGATTCTTCTCGATCATGGTGCCTCGCCGGATATCAAGTCTTCGTCTGGCGGGACCGCGTTCGACTTTGCGCAGCCGGGGAGCGAGATCTCCGAATATTTACATGAGAATGGGTACAATTTTGGACCGAGCGCGATCGATGATGATTTTTACGACTCAGGGTTCGCACATGGTCGCTTTGAGGAGGAGATTGCGGAGAATGAAATGAAGCGGCGTATGATGATGGAGGAGAGTGCTATCAACTTGGAGGTTGATTTATCGAGTCTGGGGCTCGACGAGAAGTTTGAAGTGGGTACACTATCCCTAGAGATGGCAATGACGCTGACTGTATAGCCGCTCGATGAGGACGATCTGGAAGACGAGCAGCAAGAATTTGTCTGGGACCGATGCTTAAATGATCAGATGTTCGTATTCCAAGAGCATGAACTAGAACGAATCCTGGACATCATCATCACCAACATGACCCCGCAACGTTCACCGTCACAGAAACCGGTTCCCGCAAATCTCCTGTTCCTCAGCGCGCGATATGCCCATTATCATGCCAGCCCCGAACTGCTGGCGGATCTCCTCAATTCGGCGACGGAGAAGATCAATGACGTCGTTGAACGGCATCAGTGGGACATGACCATACTCGCATTCTGGATGTCAAACGCTACTCTTCTGTTGCATTACTTGAAGAAGGACGCAGGCTTGGTAGAGTCGACTGTTGAGTTTCAACTACACCTGGCAGAGCTCATCAATGAGATATTCATCTTGATCATCCGCGACGCTGAGCGTCGGATGAACAAGGTGCTCGACGCTGCGATGCTGGATCATGAGACCATACCAGGACTGGATGATGTGGCCTTCCAGAATGAATGGAAGCTCTTCCGGCCCAAGAACAAGACAAAAGACCCCGAACCTGCCGAGAAGCGATTTCGGCCACCGTCTCCAAGGCGGAGAGCGCAAGTGTCGCCACGAAACATTACTTCTTTACTATCTTCCACCTTATTTGTCCTCGACCTCTACGACGTACATTCGGTCATCACGACACAGATCCTATCACAGCTCCTTTACTGGCTTGGGGCTGAATTATTCAATCGAATCATGACAACCAAGAGATACCTCGCGCGAACCAAAGCCATGCAGATCCGGATGAACGTGTCCAACCTGGAGGATTGGGCACGTACCAACAATAGGCAGCCGGAGCACTATGAGAATGGCTCGACATCGTGCACCGGTGAAAGCACCATGGAAAGCGCGCGCAAGCACCTGGCGCCGGTCATTCAGCTCCTACAGTGGCTACAATGTTTCTCGTCATTGGGAGACGACCATGAGTCTCTCGTCACTACCTTGCTGCAATTGCAGCAGTTGACTCCCGCCCAGCTCCTCCATGCAGTGAAATCGTATCGACCGGAGGTGGGAGAAAAGGGTCTTACGAAGCAAGCGATGAAGTTTTTGCTTGATCTTCAACGCGATCCCGATCTCCTTACCCGAGAGCAGCTGAGACTGCAAGGTGCCACGGAGCAAGGGACGGCGGACGAGTCAGGGCCGAAAGACGGTCGTCCACAAACCCCTGGACAAGACCGGCCTTTGAACATCCCAGCTCCCGGCACCCCTGAGGCATCCACACGCAGCATGGCGTCGCCTGGTTCTGCCAGTGCGTCCCCCCGTCCAGGGCAACTGTCACGGCCCGATGAGCGCAACGGGACGAACTCAGTGTTTCTGGATCCATCGCTTACTCTACCTTTCTCCTTACCTACCAGCACCGACATGTTGATCAGCTACGGGGCAGGATGGGGAGGAACCAACCGAGAACGAGCGCGAAAGTACATTCCCACGGTTCCCCCCGAGGTTCTGACCCGGTTCGACCGCGATGGATGATGCAAGGAATCAGGTGCGCTTTGGGATTGGGTTACAGCACTAGCGAGCTAGCGATACCCCCGTGGAGTCTTGAATTTGATTCTCGTATATACTTTTGGTCATCTATTGTATCACCAATGCGGCGCGGACTGCAAGTCGGCATCTTGAAACGTATTCAGTGTACTCCGTATGGGCTTGATGATATTATGGGAGAAATCACGGTACTCGGTGGGCATTCAGACTCCGGTATGGGCCAACAGACATGTGACTGGAAGGAAATCCGAAGACATCATTTGCATCAAATGAAATAGGATTGTGATCATCTTTGAGATTACTGGATGCGGACGCAATGATTCCTGAGTCGCGTGAGGTTTTGTAGGCAAGTGAGTATGAAGATTGAGTAAGGACGTCAGAGATTGTTTAGATGAAACATCTGGCTGAATCCGAGTCTAGGCAATTTCAATCATCAACGAAGATTGATTCAGAGCAAGATTTACGGCTAGGCCGTTAAGTAATACAAAAGAGGAGAAAAGAAGCGATCCTCGGCCGAAATAGGGCGAGGGATTACCCGATATGGAAGGAGACCTCTCCATTCATCTCCTAACGAGCTACTAACGACCAGACTATCCTTGCTTCCTTAAGAAGGTCGAGCCTTGGAGAGTCGTGATTCCCTCGATTCTACAGGGGTCTCAAACCTCCTTTCCGTCTCATTCGTCGATGCATGACACAACTAACCCGCTTTGGCAGAGTGGAGTATGCGCTAAGCCGGCACTAATGCCCGGCTAAGGATTGGAGCTACTGCAATACTAACTATAAACTGTATGGTCCTAAACCCTATATACTAAACTAGGAATCGCTACCGATCCACGTCGGCTCCGATGCTATCACCGAGAAACTTCAGAGCCCAGGCATCAACATTTTGCCCCAAAACATCGGGGAAAACTCAGATGAAACCTTTGTGAGAGTAAAGATATCAAGAACCTCTAAAGAACAGAAAACAAGCATTTGAGTTTGATTGCGATCGCCAAGTTGAGATTGAGCATGTATCATGGTTTTGCTGCAGAATGACAGGAGGGGTACTAGTTCTTGGGTAGCCCATTTATGCGATATCTCCTGGGTCGATTCACTCGTTCAATAATGTGAAGTAGGTTATCCGCCATTACGAAGAATACTATTCTCACCTCACAAGGGGCTTCTTTCAATACCAAGTACTCATCTTTGCAAAAGGTGCATCTCACCTCGGACCGTCCCGCTTCAACACTTCTCTCGCTCGTACACACTCCTCCTGTCGGAGAATTCAACGCCAACAAGAAAGACAATCGGCAAGGATGATTGGTTTCTTCTTTCTTGTCTACGTACTCCTGCAAGAAACGCCTCCAATCGATAGACGCTTGCCTAGCCCCGGCCTTTTCCCACATTCGTCGTCATCACAGAGCGCCAGAACTACGCAATGGGCGGCCAGTCTCCACTCCGGGTGAACCATAAGACCTCCAGACTCGAGTATTCCCGTGGCTTTCAAGAGTGTAGATAAAGGACAGCTTGCATAAGACTCGACGATGACAATTAATGAAGGGTTATTTGAGAAAGCTTTACCCACATCTTCCAGAACCCTCGGGGGCAGCAAAGTATTAATAATTGATACTACTCCATACACACATAAATAATATTGAACATTAATGTCAAACTCTAAGGGAACAAAACAAACTCCACTGATTTCCCGACCTGGCAGTTGTGGACGGGAACTTGGCCTGTTCGGGTAAGTCCGACTTTCCCTCTTTGGGTCCTTCCTCTTTTGTTGATCTGGGGCGTTGTCCTATTCGTATTTCTTTCTTTCTCGGACATCATATACAATCAATTCAATCCCTCATCCCTCGTCCGCAATTCTCCTGCTTTTCCCCTCCCTCTGGCTTGGTTCTTCCCAGACATCGACCCCTAGCCCTTACCCAATCTGGGTCATATCTTGCTCCCGTCAGCTATGCATTGCGGTATCCGTGGTTGATCGTTTGCATCCCAGCTCATTTGATGCCACTGATTGGTGTGGGACATCCTCTGATCTTTGTGCACTTCAGAGACTCTCGCTTGCTGACGTCGACAGACAGATAGCCCCAGTCGCAGCTTGTCCAGGCCATTTCTTGCAGCTTTACTGCTCTTGCCGATGCTGCCAGACCAGTGTTTGGACTAGACAATTTATTTGCGCTCATTTCTACTCATCTCCCCTCCCCCACCTCGCCAAGCTTCCGAGTGTCTCATCGTTGACGAGACATGCTGCTCACCCTGAAACCTTCCGCTCAGAATAGGATCAAAGGTCCTCATGAGTACGCAATTGTCCGCCAATCTGTTCCCACCCCGCGGTCTTTCCCGCCTACTGTTCCCGACGCCTCGGCTACCGCTACATCTCCAAAGACTTTGCGCAGAGGATTGCCTCCTCCGTCGTCAATTAATCGCCAACCGGACGTTGGCCGCTCCAACATGGCGCCTATGAGCCAATTACCCCCCGCGCCGCCGGGATGGAGCTCCCCGGAGGACTTACGCCAATGGCTTCAGGCTAAGGCAGAGGAAGATCGCAGATTGCAAGAAGAGGAAAAGACACGCCAGGAGTCTCTCCGATTAGAGCAGCGGAAAATCGAACAAAGCATGCTTCGTGATTCGTTGCAGTCGGGAGTTCCGCCTCAGATGATTCCGCTCATCTTCGCCGGAATCACTGGCGGCAGCCTTCCCCAGTCTGCTATCGAATTGATACAGCAGTATGCGTCCCAGATTCCCGGCACGCGCAGTAATGCGCCACCTCCCCCTTCACACCATTCAGCTCCTCCCCTGCACCAGCAACAGCCATCCGCACTTGACCTACCGCCGCCACCCCCACTGTCCCAGCGGCATCCACCTTTGGCGATCCCTGCAGATATTCGACGTGACTCACGAGTCCTTCCGCCACAGCAGCAACCGATTCCTGGTCCCGTGCTGTCTCAGCCTCTCAGTACCCATGGACGTTCTCCCAGCAGCCAGTCTTTCGGACGTTCTCCCTTATCAAGCGGCCCTGGAAAGGCCACTGCCTCATCCTTGTCTCGGATCAACGGCGAAACACATTTGCAGCATGTCCCACTCACACTTGGTAACGCACAGTATGCAACTGGCTCTTCAGTTCCTCCGTCTCAGCCGGCGGAAATCAAACACGAACATCCGCCACGGCATTCTCCTCCGTCCTTATATTTTCACCATTGGGTCCCACCGGGCCAGCCCCCTCCAGGAAAGAACCAACATGACTTCCCCGTAGTATCCATTGCTCAGTCACAGCGCCGTTATGAAAACCAGAGCCCCCCTGGTCGAAAAAGAAAGTCTCAGATTCCCCATCAGCCGGCTCCTCTTCCATCCTCACGTCCTTCGGACGCTCCCTCCTCTTCGTTGCCGTCCTCCCGGCTTGGCTCCCCGATCGCCAGCAATCAACCGCCAGATTCTCGAGCCCATCACCACCGCCAGCGCAGTGATGCATCTAGCTCGCTTGATTCGCGAATGCAAGACCATCATGACGCTAACCAAGGTAATGATTTGTTACATCAGAAGCCTGGCGCATCAAGCTTGAATCAGCCGTCGGGAGACTATAGCCCTACAAAGGGCTTGGATCGTGGAGATATACCATCCAACAGCGCAGGCACTCGGTATCGGGCTTCCCACATGTCTGACAATGTCAACAATTCAGGCAAAGCTGAAGATGCTGCTGGAACTTCTTCTCAGCCTTAGTTCAACGACAGACCAGAGCCCGCTCGTGGCAGATATTCTCGAAAGTTACACTATTTGATCCTGGCCTTTCACATAAAACTGGCCACCAGATAGATCGATGTGGGGCTCACGGACTAATTTATTCCTCCATAGATGACGTGATGAATTTCTTGACAATTTCATTGTGCTAAAAGTTGCTTCTGGCCACCTAGGTGATATCCTTTCATCAGGGCATTTCGTTTATGTGTACCCGATCCCTTTTGGGTTATGTTCAACATGGTTGTGAGCATGCACTTCCATTTTTGCAGGACTATGGTGATATGTATAGCAGATAGCGCATCTGGCGCCATTGGTGTCCTGTCAGTCTCATGATTGTTCCGCACAATGTCTTCATGCTGGGAATTGTGGATTGTACAAAAGTATTTGGAGCACATAGAATGACATACACGCCGTTACCACAAGACCAAGCGGCTGATCTATTGAAGAATTCGTTCAACCGTTTAATAAGCCGAAAAGATAAGATTACGCTTACAACCTGGGTGATGGACAAGAATATCTGTTGATTAAGTCTGTACGAGACAGGCACATATAGTGACCTAACGATATGACAAGATGGGCCTTGCTTGGGGTATCAGGAATAAAATCAAAGCAGACTAGGATGTGCCCTTGCTTCAAGGGACGATTGTAAAACGTATATAGGCGGCGTGGACCACGAGTTGATAAGTGTCAGGACGGAAATGAAGGGGCAAGACAGAGCACGACAGGAAAGAAAACGGAGAGGATGAGATACGTCCCAGAGAGAGGGAGTCAGGGACAAAATGAAGGTAGCCTGAAAGAAAAGATACGAGACAAAGGAACGAGGTTGTGAATGAAGTAGTGAGAGGGGTACCCTAAGGGAATAATGAGGATAGAAGCGAGTGATGGAGTGACATGATATTAATATTGAGGTGACGCACGTGACCGCGTTGACATATATCCGTTGGCGGAAAAGGGTATTAGGGGCGATGGTAATGTAGTAGGATTGTCTCGGGGGAGTAGCCTGAAGGGCTTTTTGATTATTATCCTTCGGTCATTCGGTGGTGGTGAGATTAATGGACTCCGAGACGTTTGAGACGAGAGAAATCCTGTCTTGCACTCTCAAATGCAATGCAATGGCCGTGAGAATAACTATATATGAGAGGGAGGGTTCGTCAAAACCCCATGTGTGAGGTTCCGGTCATCAGAAGGTATCGTGTGGATGGATTATATGACTGGTTGTGCAGTGCGAACGTGTAGGGATGTTCATAGATACGACGCAAGGAATTGCGTATGGACAGGACATGCAGTTGTCAGGTCGACTGTAGGCGTGCGCGGGGTTTCACACTTTCATCCCCCCTTCTTGCGACGATGAACTTTCCATTCTGCCTTGGCGACTCGCATGAAAAGTTCCACATCTTGGATAGGGACCCAGCTAGTGAGGACCTTCATGGCATTCTCAAAGTCCGACTCGAGGATGATCTCCCGCATCCCATCGATGAGCGCCGCGGACGTGGCATGGAGGACGTCCAGGCCCTGGCCGAACGCGCTTGTGACTTGTGGCTCGGACTTGGTGGTTCCTTTGCCGGGCGGTTCCTCCGCATCGCCTAGGAGCATGAAGACGTCCCATACGCGAAGTTGCGCGGGGAAGGGAATGGAGTAATTGAATAGCGTGAGATACCAGCGGGTGCCGTACGCGGTGGGCGGGATCCCCAATTCGTTTAGTTTCGCGGCGACTTCGCCTGCGTCAAGCCATTCTCGTTCAAAATCACCAAGGGCTTCCATCAGCCCAGAGAACCCAGATTGGTACAAGCGCTCCAGCCCTCGTAGCTGCCACAATCGAACAAGCATGATGAACGCATGCTCCTCATCGTAGTAGGCGAGGAGGGTCGCCGCCAGCGCCGCCATACCCTGTACATAGCCAGTATCAGGAAAATACAAGGACATTGCGTGCAGCACGCGGAACAACAGCCTCTGGCCGCCACGATAACGGCGGCGGAACATAATGTGACTGGTTATTGTTCTCGGGACGTCAATGTCGATCTGTACATCGTCAGGGGACGAGACGAGCTGAAATTCGTTGTAAGCCTCGACAAGCTCCTGCTCCGTCGGGCTGTCGCTGCGCCGCTTGGCGCTTGCCTCTAAGAATGCGTACCAGGCCGTTGCGCGCCATCGGTCGGGTATACCCTTCCATGTCCGCTCGATCAGCTTGGTACTCTGCGTGTCGAATTCAAAAGTCATCCCGCCACCGAGTGCGGTTCGCCGCGTCGGCTTGGCCATCTTTGTCCACTTGTCCTCACGCTCCCACTCTTTCTTGCGCATCGCGCGTGCAATGGCGGAGTCCCGTCCCGTTCCAGAGGCCGCCACGTCGCTCGGAAGTGTGAGCATGTCACGCGCCTCATCCTTAAACCGACGATCGCGATTGTGCGGAAGATGATTAGCCGCCTGGCGGAATCGAGACGTTGACCGTCGGAGAGTGGAACTGTACGTGCTTTGCGATGACGATGGGCGCATAGATGGCGCAGATATCTTACGTGTCGGTGATCGGCCCGAAAAAGATCGGTTGCCCGCCAGGGCTGACGGAGGTCGGATGGAATGCTTTCGTCGCGGTGTCTCTGATGCCAGAAGCAGGCTGGTAGAAACGCGCTGGATGGGGCTATGCTCCGTGCCGTCGGCCGAGTTGAAAGTAGTACTCCGAATGAAGCCGTACCGATCGACATCACCTGCCTTGATATTCTGCCAGTATTCAATACCACCGGCCAGTTCGTGGGGCTCCCTCTTCGGCCCAGAACCATTGCTGCTGTCAGGCCCAACCGATGACTCCCCACCACTCGCGCTGTGTCCAGAGACGGCGGAGGCCTCCGTTGGAGTGGGAGCAACTTCCTCCCACAGCACTCCATTCTCCATTGCAAGGGACTTGGCCACCTCCGAATCGGTCACATTTTCGTCGCCTTTCTCATACATCAATCTGACTCGGCGCGAGAGCATGTCCTCGTCGGCCGAGATCACTCTGCTCGGAACGCTGCTGTGCCTCGCTCGCAAATACGACAATGGCTTCGTCCGGCGTCTTCGCGCCCCATGGAGTTCTGGCTCCGCACAATTCTCCTCCGCACAATTCTCCGCTGCAGTCGCTGGTGCACTTGTTTCACCCGTCTCGTTCTGCTCTGGCTGTTCCATTGAAGCCTCTGCCGCTGCCTGCGACTCGTTTTGCTGCGGCAATTCATGCTTCGAGATCTCTCGCTGGAGGCGCTGCCTATCCTCCTCCTTGATAAGACTGCCACGTTTCGAAAATCGCATGGACTGCGCTCCTAGGCCGTCAAGTGAACCGTTCGGGATGTCAAGCGAGATCTTATTGAATGGTCTCTCAATCGGAGGCGGAGGCGGTGGTGACTCCGACCTCCTGTCAAACTCTCCAGACCGTTTCCCTCTCAAAGCGCTCCATTTGCGCTCAGACCACCGAGACCCCGGTCGAGAGCCCGGCCGCGATCCAGGCCGAGACCCGGGGCGCGACCCAGCATCATTGACAATGATACTGGGGATACTGCGCAATGACCGCCGGCTGAACGTAGAATGGTTGTCCTCCGGCGGCGTCAGCCTCTTATCCTTTGCGATTGACGCCGAAGAGGGCGCGAGGCCCGATTCCGCACTGCTGTTCTGATGCGACGCCAATGCGACCGACTCGAACTTGTTCCCGTGGTTTTCTGACGATGATGCGCTCGTTGACGCCGATCGCTTCTCTGAACATATCACATAGTCGTGCGGAGTAGGAACCGAGGCAGATCGGCTGGCTCCAGAGTCTGCGAGGGCGAAGGTGTCCTCGTAGCGCAGGGCAGAGATGGTCGAGTCCGGTTCCGTCATGACGACAGGAGGCACCGAAGAAGAGCGTTGGTCCCCCATGATCACTATCGCCGGTCAATTTATCCTGGCATGACTTGCAGCATCTGGGGTGATTGGAATCGTAGCGACTTGATTTTATGAATTCTTTCCGTTCGTTTTGAATCGGGGAGGACAGCCAAATTTGGTTTCAAAAGGAGAGGGCAGGCAGGCGGGGACGAGGGCGACGGCGAGGGGGTCGCTTTGGGGAGGCGAACGCAATTAAGTCGATCTCGCTGGATTCTGCAAGATGTTGGGCACGAAGAATATCAGGTCGGGTTACTCAGGCGATAAAAGGAGCGAAAATGAATGACAATGGCCCAAGGGATTGAACATGACCGGCCTCCCCGTCAAGGAGGATTGAATATGGGAATAATAAGAGGTAAAAGAAGAGACTGACGAGGCTAGCGAGCACTTAGTGTAGTGGTGACTGGATGTACCAAGTAGTACCGCGGCTCCCTAGATGCTTGGCAAGGAGGAATAAGCTTCACTTCTACTTTGAGTCGAATCTAGGGAGGAGTCGATAGTCGAAATGGAGAGGTAGAAAGGTATCTAGATGTGCTGAATGGTCTATGTAACTCAAAACGGATGCTTACTATTCTGGTTTCGCATCATCGTTCTTCTGTCTAGCCCATGACGGCGTCGACCCTTATTATATGGACGAATTCGATCTCGCCATTCCTCAGGCAGCAAGGCTACCTCTCCTCCAGAACTCGTGTCTTCTACAGTCTTTGATACTACTTAGAAAAAAAAAGGGAAAATTCGTTTAGCTACGTACCAAGAGGAACTCGGAAAATTAGACTAACAGTTGAAAATTCAACGCAGGGATCATCATAGGGGGCTACCAAAATCCGATTATTGTACAGTTGAACTCCATAAATGTCCCACTTTGGGGGCTCCAGACTGCAAAAGCCGCGCGCTCTGGTGGGTCAATCGTGGAAATTCGTTGAAGCCGAATATTATTGACAAAGTAGGTAATACTCCTAATTATTATATTCGAAGAGGGCAGGAGTAATCAGCTTCGATCCATAGAAGCAGAATTTTGTCAACCTCTAGATAGTTACTGTGGTCTGAACCGGTGGTTCTTGAAGCCCTGTGCGATCTGAATCCACAGGATAGATTATTGTGATGTGCCTACGGTGGAGCTCACTGGAGCTCATGAGCAGCAATTAAAGTCTAGAACATAATCATTATATTACCTTAAACACGGTACTGCCACGAGGGAAGAGGTAACTCGCACTACAGGAAAGGTAGATATCCCTTGAATAACAATTAGGCCAAATCCTTGGTTCTTCACCAAGTTCTATCAAATAAAGTACTCCCTTACGACAGACTATCGCTGGTCTTTTCTCCCACATCATTTTTTGGGATAGTATTATTGAAGGGGTAAAGCCCTTGACAATCCTTCCTTAACGCAAGGACTGGCACAGGTCTCTCTCTTTTGCTCTCTTCCTGTTCTTTTTGTTGTGGTTTTCCTGTTTACGGAAGTAATCCATGTCAACGTCGTCTTATCCGAGTCCTAGATACAGAAACACACTCTATAACTCCGTGGAGGCCATATACCAGTAGGCCATCAATGCAATAAGGGACGCTGGCCCAATACAAACAGTCCTGCTGTAGTGACAAAGGCGAACAAGAGAGGGCATTCCAAAAAGGCCATGTACTAGGCCGCAGCGGCGGTGTTGACTCGCGATCTGGATGGCTCCTGCGCTGACCGTGCTGGTTCAATGGGCTCTTGAGGTAGCAGCTCGATTTGACGGACTAAGAAACTCTTCTCGTCCGTGAATTGGTCGTCATCCGTCCGATCCATTAGGAATTTAGGCAAGAATTTCAACAAACGGTCCCGATTGTTGATGAGAATCCGTTGCACCGCGACCGATTTGTTAGGATTTGCGACGAATACCTGGTCACATTCCTCATCAGCAATTCACGGATTCATCGCCCATCGTTCGTGCCAGAGAAATAGGGGATCATACCTTGAAAACGTGGAACCCCTCGTACTGAATCATTTTACGATCATCTTTCAGCAATTGCATGCAGAGTTTCAGATTGTCCCCGCTTTCAACATATGCCATCATCACGCTGTAATTGGCTCGATCCAACAGTATCTCACCGAGAAGCTTTATACTCTGGCGCTTCGTAACATAGGAACTCGACTGGATGAGTGCATTGAAGCGGGAAAAGAAGAGATCAAAGTTGGTAGTGAGGTAGGAGGTCACGAGACTCTTGTGACGAGTGAGAATGTCCTATGCCACGGTTACTCCTTATGACTACTTCAACCATAACGGGCGTTGCTTACCCTAAATGTTGTAAAGGAATCAGCGCTCACTTCGAAGCTGCTCTTGTCGATCCAATGAAAAAATCTCCAAAAGATGCCATTGCCTTTCTGGGGGATATCGGGGTTGACCTGCGTCAATCTGATCGCGGGTTGACCCTCGGTAGACTGATCGTATAGGATGATGGCCGCGCACACGTCGAATTTGAGTGCTTCTCTCAGGATGGCGCCACAGGGCATTGTACTCTCGGGTGATTCGTATCCCCGGCAGAGCTCAACAATGATCTCGGGACGATTGTGTACAATATAAGAAATGACTGGTGGGTCACCATTGTTGGCCTGGGCGGGTCGAAAACGAAGGATCTGAGAGAATATGGTTTGCGTATCTTTTCTGGCTTGAAAGGGAAGATGACGGAGGTTGCGGGCAAGTTCGTATAGAAGATCTTCGTGGACGGTGGCTTGAACCAGGGCATGTACTTGTTCCGGAGTCGTGTCAGTTTCTAAAGGAGACTGCAGTCAGCATAATGACCATAATCTTTTATAGAATGCGCCGGTGCGGCGAGGCAATGGTGCACGCTCATTACACTAACCTTGAGTGCCTTGGACGATCACTTTCATTTGCGCAAGTTGCTTCGCCAAGTCATCTTCGACCTGTATGAAGCTGTCAGCAAGCTGCAGATTGGTACAATATATGGCATAAACAAGCAGAGGGAACCTGCGAGACTGACCTTGGCAGCTGCCGGAGCTTCTCCTAGTCTTAATAATAGCTCCTTAATTGTTCGGACGACGTCAGAAGGCGGCCGTTGTCGATTCCGCCAGAGGAAAGCCATTTCTGTTGATATAAATAATGTAATATGTATTGGACAGGAAAGTTTGATGTAGAGGAAACAAACGGAGGATGAGAGACAATGAGCTGTTCAGTACATGTGAAAGATGCAGGGCAAGCAATTGATCCCTAGCAGAAGAAGGGTGACATGAACACTTGCTCTGTCTCGACTGAAGGAAGCGCCGAAGTGGTGAGCCTGTACAAGGAGAAAAGAGATGGTTACGGAGAAGGAGAAGGAGAAGGTGGTGGTGATGACGATGATGCTGATGATAAAGAGGTGTCTCAGCTCCGACTTGTTATCTGCCCTATCGGTCTGAGGGGAATGAGCTGTTGTCAGGCGGAGAGCCGATAAACAAAGTACCCAGCGAGCATTGGGCGGGGCAACCAGCGGGTTCTGTTGTGAGTAAACTCTTTTTTTTTTTTTTTTTTTCCCTTTTTCTACCGATTTTAGTCCCCTCGATTGCTTGAACCCCTCCATCCATATATTTACATGGTCCATTGGTCGCACAATTCCGTCTAAAGAATCAAGAAATCTAAGAATTAGGCAATTTCAGCAATTTGAATTGCCGTTGCCCAAATCTGAATTGAGTCAATGTCTGCCACAATTCCCTCAGACCGTCCCTTAAGGGACCAAGATGCCCTCTCGACAACCTCTTCGGACGATTCGGATATCAGCAACGAAGAGGGATGGGAAGATGTTGAGCCTGATGACGAGACACAGCCGGTAATTGGCTTGTTTTCCGATAAGGTCTACCCCGACGTACAGTCGATGCTCCAGGAGTCTAAAGACAAACATGGCTTTGACTTGCGGAAGATTCGAAAGGATCTTGGTATGTAATATCGATCCTTGGGCGCTCTGTTCCCGTTATTGTTCCGATGCTCCTAATATGGGCATAATCATGATTGTTTGCGAGAAATCCTGGCTAACTGTTACGTTCCACTTCAGACTTGGATTTCCTCGGTACTATCAAATTAGTCAATTATGTCCGGTCTCAAGTCAAAGCTGGGAACACGACCCCGGATGTCTCTTCGAAAGATAAATTTGAGGACGAGGCTTACTTAAAGCCCGCCCTTGAAGACGACGCCCTTTTGTATAGCTTGGACGATATCGACGACGAAGAATCCGCGACAGCCGGTGCGACAGAGGCGGAGCGCCGCGTGATCGAGCTGCAGGAGGACCTTGAACGCCTCCAGAGCCAGTTCACTGAATATAGAATGGCCGTGCAAAAGTCAATGGAAGAACAGTTGTCGAAGGAAGATGAGAAATTGGGACCATCGCCCAGCGGCCCGTCGGGCAAGAAAATGAGCAAGATTGAGGAGGCAGACTCAGATTACTTCGTTTCTTACTCCTACAATGGTCAGTTCTCCACTCCCTGTCGAGCTGAATATGCTTTTTGCCTAACTGTTATATTTTTTTGAAGCCATCCACGAGTCCATGCTCAAGGACTCTGTCCGTACTGACTCCTATCGCGATTTCATTTACGACAACAAGCATCTCTTCAAGGACAAGGTCGTCTTAGATGTCGGATGTGGAACTGGCATTCTCTCCATGTTCTGCGCGAAAGCAGGTGCCAAGAAGGTCATCTCAGTCGACAATTCCAATATCATTGACAGAGCCAAGGAGATCATCTACACCAACGGCTTCGGCGATGTGATCACGTACGTATTTCTGCTTCCCGTCAGATATTTATCTACCGGAATCTAACGTTAGATCAGATGCATCCGTGGCAAGATTGAAGAAGTCACTCTGCCTGTTCCCCAGGTCGACATCATCGTCTCCGAGTGGATGGGCTACTGCCTTCTATTCGAGGCCATGTTCGATTCGGTCATTTACGCCAGAGATCGGTATCTCGCTCCAGGAGGACTGATGGTACCCTCAGACGCCACCCTACGTATTGCGCCGTTCGCCGATTCCGAGTTCATCTCGTCGCACATCTCATTCTGGGACGATGTGTACGGGTTCAAGATGGGCAGCATGCGCAAGAACATCTACGACGATGCGCTTGTTCGTAGCGTACTGCCTGCGGCAATTCCTGGTGATTCTGATGTATTCCTAGAACTGCCGTTGCACACCATCACCGTGGAGGAGCTCTCGTTCCTGAAGGAGTTCCAGGTTACTCTGAAGGAAGATATCGACGCTCTTGACGGTTTCGCTATCTGGTTTGATATTTTCTTCATGCCCTCTAGGGATTCTACTATCCCGAAGAACGCCGTTCCTTCAGAAATGCAGAAAAAGGGTTTCGTCGCCTTCACTACAGGCCCCGATGGACCGGAAACGCATTGGCAACAAGGTGTTCTCCTGATTGATCGCGAGAAAAAGAAGGGAGTCGCCCTGAAGAAGGGTCAGACCATCACTGGCAAGGTCGGTTATCAGAAGAGAGAAGAAGGGTCGCGCTCGCTGGACATCACCATCGAGTGGGACACGCAAGTGGGCGAGCAGGGGGCCCAAAAATGGGCGCTCCTATGAGTTATGACGCTTAATCAAAAGTTTTGTCTATTATTGTAATTCATGATTCAGACTTGACTGGTACCAACATACCGCTCAAATAGAGAGACGCTCGATTTCGAAAACAAATGTACAATCTCATGAAGCAACCATGGTTGGCTCTGCCATCCGTAGCTATGGTAGGGGTCAAACGTCGTAAATCATTCACATCAAGTTCAAGCTTCCATAAAGAAAGGTGTCACGCATGGCGTTTGTGCGACTGCGCCTCGCGAACGTCTCCTCGGTCGTGGTCATGGTGATTACGATGACGGCGCGATAGGGAGTGGGAGTGGGAATGGGAGTGACGGTGTCGCTTGCGAGAACCATCGCGACTTCTTCCTCGGCGATGCGAGCGATGTCGGTGTGAGCTCCTCGATTCCTTGTCCTGACGTTTGTCAGGTGCGTCAAGGCTGAAGTTTTCAAGACTATCCCCAGAGTTTGACGCTTTTGACAACGACGTTGATCTCCTTCTGCGATGAAAAGACCGTCGTCTTTGTGCCTCTTTCAATGCATCCAATTCTCTCTTTCTCTCCTGGTTCCACTTCTTCCGTTCAAGTTCGACCGATTTCAGCTGGCGAACTCCCCTCTGTATCGCCGCAAGTGGATCGTTGGCATCCAGCCGGGCTCTCTCCCGCTCCTGTCTCATTGGATCCTCATTGCCCCAAACATCCTTTTCGGGCATAGCAGCAGGCGCCAAAACATCACGACTGGAGGAAGAGTACCAAGGCGTTTGGCCAGCGGACTGTCGATAGCCCGCCGCATTCGAGAAGCGCATCGTATATTGGTCCTCATAGCTCCGGTTCTTGTCAGCTGCCTCCTTCTCCGCCTCTTGATTTTTTTCTGCTGGTTTCCGCGCTGCCTCGGAAGGAAATAAATTGATATGCCCTGTACTGTCTAAAAGCGGCGCATCGCTGGTCTTGGACACAGCAAGCTCCTCCCTTTTCGCCAGCATCAACTGAGCATCTTCCCTCGCGAGTCTGATATCGCGATCCGTATCATTTTCACCTGCCAGTCGCCTCCGCTTTCTATATCTTCCAGCATCCTCTCCATGTGTCCTGTCTCGTCGAGTATCTGATGGAGCAGACGGCGGGGGTGGTGGGGTAGAGGGCCGTTCGCCACGGAGAATTTGAATTCTGCGCTCAGCGTCAACTTCTTGCATACGACGTTCCTCTTCCTCCTCCCGAGCCTTGGCCTCAGCCTCGTCACGCCGGACACGGGCGATGTTCTCGGGATTGTAGACGTTCCATGACTTCTTGCCCAGTAGATGACTGCTCAATGCATCAGTATGAACCGCAGAATTGCATAAGAACAAATTCAATGGGCTTACAGAGGCATGGTGTATCGAAGTACTCTGCGAGCACCTGGTCACGCAGTATCAACCCAAGAACCGACACAACCGAAGAGTCGACGAGTTACCAGAGATCTCCCAAGGCGATAAAGGGTGGATCATCACTAGCTTAAGCCACACCGATCGGCCAAAACGGAGCTTCACGGGCCGATGTGGCTAATTATGGGAGCTCCGCCAAGTGATTTAACTCTGCCTCAGGTATCTAGCCAGGTACTCCAGACTCTCCAACTTCCTAAAGGTAGATACCCCCGCCACATTATACAGGTCTCTTACGAAGTAGTCTCTCTCCATAATTTGATCAAGTCTCATGTTTCTTTCCCTGATTAGTCTCTTCAATACACATATCATTTCCGCTTTCTAACAACACTCATACATATCTTCCTCACATAAACCGGCTGTCTTGACGATCGCCGCAAGATTCAGTCAGCTACTCCTGTTCCTATACCACTTGGGTCTCATCGTCCACCGCGCCTCTCAACAACAGTCTCGCGACCATCGCCTAATTGAATCGTTGTCGAATGTCCCACCTCTATTAGAACCAACATGTTCAATCGCAACAACTATCCGTCTGTACCGAATCCCTTCTCAGGCCGCCCCTCTTCCCGAGGCAATGCGAGTCCTGGTCAAGGTCCCCCACTTCCACGAAGAGATGGGTATGACACTGGCCATCCGCCGATGAGTGGCGCAGGGTATGAACAATTGCCGCATCAGTTTGACCACGATGTCCAGATGACTGATGCGTATAATCATTCAAGAGGTTATGGAACTCCGCCACCCAGGCCAGGTTACTCGCAGACACCTCCAAGAAACCCAGTAGGAGACAGGGCGCCCGGTGCGTCAGCCCAGGTATGGACGCTACGACCTGCGAAGAGCCCTGACAACTCGTATACGTTTGGAAACCTGTAAGTTTTTGCATGTGAAGTTGGATTCTGGAATTGCAAGCTAATAGCAAGCAGTGTTGCCGTCTCAACACAGGACTTCCCACCTTCGCGTGACGGACTTGACCTTTTACTCCTTGTGAACGATCTCTATGTCTTCTCTGCTCGCCCTCTCGATGGTTTCCCTCCTGGACATATCAGCATGTCGGATCCCCAGCGGACATGGGCGGGCGTTGCTTTCACAGATTCAGTCAAGGCCCAGATATTCGATCCGTTTAGTCAGGGCGGACAAGCCTATCTCGGATCAACAGATATTGAAGTCGGCTTTGCTGGGAAAAAGAGGGTCGAGACTCCGTACGACCAAGATGAGTTGGCAAACGCCGTGATCAAGGTAGGTACTCGATTGGATCGATGACGTTTGCACAGTACTAACTTTCTCTAGAACTTTGAGAACCAGATCTTCTCTCCGGGTCAGAAGATTTTGATGGATCATAAGAGCATACCGCTGCTCCTGACTGTCAAGACCGTTCAGCGGGTCGATCTTACATCGGAGAAAGCTGGGGCTGCTGCTGGAAGCACTGAGACGGACCCCACGGCGAGAGGGATCTTGACAAGGCACACCCAGGTTACTTTCTTCAAGGATGCGCGCACGGGCATCAATTTGAAGCCATCGAATCGTCGCCCCGCAGCAAACTCTATTATCACACCCGACTTTAAGTTCGAAGATATGGGGATTGGAGGACTTGACGCGGAGTTCAGCACAATTTTCCGTCGTGCGTTTGCATCGCGTATCTTCCCTCCCGGGTTGGTTGAAAAGCTTGGTATCCAACACGTGAAGGGTATTCTGCTTTACGGCCCCCCCGGAACGGGTAAGACCTTGATCGCACGGCAGATTGGGAAGATGCTGAACGCGAGGGAGCCCAAGGTCATCAACGGTCCTGAAGTGTTGAACAAGTTTGTCGGTCAGTCGGAGGAGAACATTCGAAAGCTGTTTGCCGATGCAGAAAAGGAATATAAAGAAAAAGGCGAGGAGAGTGGGCTTCATATCATTATCTTCGACGAGCTGGATGCCGTGTGTAAGCAGCGTGGTAGCGGAGCAGGTGGTGGCACAGGCGTTGGGGACAGTGTGGTCAATCAGCTGCTATCGAAGCTGGACGGTGTCGACCAGCTGAACAATATCCTCCTGATCGGTATGACTAACAGAAAGGACATGATTGACGAAGCTTTGTTGCGGCCGGGTCGTCTTGAAGTGCACATGGAGATTTCTCTTCCAGATGAGAACGGACGAGCTCAGATTCTGAAGATCCACACCCAGAAGATGAGGGAGAACAATGTCATGGATCCAGACGTTGACCTGGCTGAGCTCTCGCTCCTTACTAAAAACTTCTCCGGCGCTGAAATCGCTGGCCTTGTCAAGTCTGCGTCTTCGTTTGCTTTTACCCGGCATGTCAAAGTCGGTACCATGGCCGGCATCAGTGAGGATGTCGTAAACATGAAGGTCAACAGAGCCGATTTCCACCATGCGCTGGAGGAAGTTCAACCTGCTTTTGGCGTGTCAGAGGAACAGCTCTCGAGCCGTATCCAATACGGCGTCATCCATTACTCCCCTACAATTAACGAAATCCTGAAAGAAGGAGAGCTTTTCGTGAAGCAAGTCAGCAATGCTGAATCCTCTCCCCTCTTTTCCGTTCTGTTGCATGGTCCCACCGCCAGTGGGAAGACTGCTCTAGCCGCTCGAATTGCGATTGATTCCGGTTTCCCCTTCATCAAGCTGATTAGCCCTGAGGATATGGTCGGCTTTAGTGAAATGGCCAGAGTCCAGTACATCAGCAAGATTTTCGATGACGCTTACAAGAGTCGCACGAGTGTCGTTGTCGTTGACAATATCGAGAGAATCATCGACTGGGTCCCTATTGGTCCTCGTTTCAGCAACACTATCCTTCAGACCTTGATGGTCTTCCTGAGAAAGCAGCCTACCAAAGGCCGACGGCTGCTGATCCTTGCCACCACAACGGAGCGCGCTGTGCTCAAGCAGTTGGACATCTATAACTCGTTCAACTCGGATATCATGGTTCCCAACGTGATGACGTATGATGAGCTGCGTTATATCATGGAGCAGTCCGGAGCATTTGATGCCTCCGAGATCGAGCAGGCTCTGGCAGAAGTTGGTGGCATCACCGAAGATAGAACTATCGGCGTTGGCGTTAAGAAAGTGCTTTTGGGTATTGAAACAGCGAAGCAGGATCCTGACAAGGTGGGCCGTTTTGTCCGCGTCATCAACCGGGCGATTGAGGAAGAGCGAACTTTCCAATAGACCTTTGCTTTCTGATGCGTTGGCTGTTGTATATCGAGCATAATCACTTCTATACATAGTAAAGATTGTCATGGCCCTGGGAGGCGACCTGTACGGAATGATATATCTTTCATCGAGCCTCACTGAATTGTGCAACATAGATGTTTCCCGTTTTTTCCATGCTTTCGTCGCGTAGAAACGTCCACTGGTCGAGCTGAAAACCCCGAAGAAAGCCTTAATTGAAGTGATGTCCTGAAGATTCCAGTCTGCGCTCTTCAAGCGGCATAGCACTAAGAAACTACAGTTTTCTACTATCTATAGTACATGAGCCATCGGAGCCCAATATTATAACACGCTTTCCAGATCAGTAACATCCACATCAAATACTTCAGAAACAACAGCCTGAACTTGAGCTGCGAACATAGTACATGATATAATTAATTATTCAATCCTGTCACATGAC